GTAAAGGGAGATAGCATGGTAGTTTGTTATGATCACTTAAAAAGGGTTTTGGAACGCTTACATAAATACAATGTTAAAGTTAATCTGGACAAATGTATTTTTTTTTTTATAGTGAGATTAAATTTTTGAGTCATATTATTTGTAAAGAAGGAATTAAACCATTACCAGAAAAAGTACAGTCGAATAAAAGCTCCAGTGCCCAAATCAGTGACTCAATTGCAGGCTTTTTTATGTCTGTTAAACTATTACTGTAAATTTTTGCCAAAATTATCGACACATTTGAAACCTCTGCATGAATTACTAAAAAAATATAAATTTTATATGGTCAGAGCGTTGTGAAAAATCATTTGAGAATAGTAAACAACTTATAATACAAAATAAATTATTAGTACACTATGACTGTAAAAATGAATTGTATCTAACTACTGATGCCAGTGAATATAGGGTGGGTGCAGTGCTGAGCCATAGAATTGATGGGGATCCAATTTATTTTGCATCAGCCTCCTTAAATAGTGCTCAAAGAAATTATTCTCAGGTAGAAAAAGAGGCATTGGCCATAATATTTGCAGTTAAAAAATTTCATAAGTATGTATATAGTAGAAAGTTTCTTTTAGTTAGTGATCATCAACCACTTAAATTCATTTTTGATCCTTTAAAGAGAATACCAGTAACAGCAAATGCGAGATTACAAAGGTGGGCCTTACTGCTTTCAGGCTATAATTATAATATCATTTATAGGAAAGGAATTTTGTTAGGAAATGCGGATGACCCTATCTAGACTACCTTTGCCAGACATAGCTGAGGGAGATAAAGTAAATTATTTAAAATTTTCAGATGATTCTCCATTAGATTTAAAAGATATTGAAGAATATATTAGGACAGATCCCATTCTATGTAGGGTATATGATTATATTACTAAAGGATGGCCTAGGTGTGTTAATCAGAATAATATAAAGCCATATTTCTTAAAACGTGCTGAGCTTACGGTTGAACAAAAGTGTGTTTTATGGGGAAGCAGAGTTATAATACCTCTTAAGTTAAGGCCTTATTTCATGTGTCACACCAAGGGGTGGTACAAACAAAAAGATTGATGAGGCAGTATTTTTGGTGACCAAATTTAGGCGAAGACATTGACATTTTTATAGCCAGTTGTAATATCTGCCAGGCTTCGAGAAATTTCACAAATTCATGTCCACCAATTCCATATAATTAAAACTGAGTTAAACTTTGAAAGGGTTCATGTAGATTTTTTTTACATAAACTCAATTACCTATTTGTTCTTGATTGACTCAAGCTCATAGTGGTTAGACATTCATATCATGCAAGGTACATCAGCCACTCATGTCATAGAGAAATTGTAATCGTCAAATTTTGTATGGAAAAGGTAGTTTGTTCTTACGTCCGACGCTGCTAAGTTTTCATAAAAACTTTGACGAAGAGGTACGATAAATAGCGGGATTGCTACCATGTAGGGTAAAGTGGGGGTTCCACATCCGCGCATGGGGTTTGCGCGTCAATCCGATAGTAGGATTCAGGCAAACGTCCAGCGCCGGCGTGCCTGTCCACATGTCAGGGACGCATCATTAGTACAGCCCCTCTAGCATGACCACCGAACGGGATATGATAAAGCGATATATCGGCATTAACTTTCAGACTACAGTGGAGTTAGACAGTAGTCTGACAGTTAATGTCGATATATCGCTTTATCATATCCCGTTTCGGTGGTCATGCTAGAGGGGCTGGAGTTGCAAATGAGAGTGGACGCGTGTATGCAAATATTTTTTGCTCGTTTGTTACTCTCATTCACCGAAATAGCTAATATTATTAGTATTAACGAAAGATTTAAATACCTAGAGTAGTATTCTATGATTGTCTGCCGTTTAATTGACTCTGCGCGTTCTTTCCGGTTGATCGGTAGAGAATGCCATGCTGGCATTAAGTCCGCCATATGCAATGTAAAGGCATTAAAGATTAAATAAATATTCAAGTAGAAAACGACCTGTGGAGTCCGAAAAGTAGCCAGCAACCACTACCTACTTCTTTTCAATAATTATACTGCGATGCACCTCAAGTAGGAGTTAAAAGTACCAAATTAATAAATAATTGCGGTAGAAAATAATCTCAACATTTATTAAATAAAATAAGTTTCAAAGGTATAGATGCACTGATTTATTTAAATCTGAAATGAATTTTCTTGTTTTATTTAATGAGTGCTGTGCGTGAAAACCTAAGAAACAGTACCCCCAGCACGAACCATTATCGAATTCGAATAGTTTGCAAACCGAAATGTCAAAGTCAAATTTTGTATGGAAACTTGAACAGCAGCGGCACAAAGTACGTAACGAGAACTAAAAATCAGTACACATTTGACAATGACATTTCGGACTCGCAAACGATACGAATTCGATTTTGGTTCGTGCTAAGGGTACACTACCCCTAGCACGAACCATTATGCATCTGGCGACGTCGGCCGACGCAGCCGCCGTGTATAGGGGGCAAGGAACTTATATACTAGTAACGGGGCCCTTACACCCGACTATCTGATGTCTGATGACAGCTGCTTAATACGGTGGCTTAAGAAACTAATAAGACAAATCATAGACAATTAAGAGCAGAGATTTTCCTTATGTTAAAAGTGAAGTTGGCCGTATCTTGTTTTTTAAAAGTCTTTGATATCGGGTTCATGGTGGCAATCCCGCTTATTAGGTGCTAAGTGCTATCCATAGAGCGACGGCCGACGCAGCCATTAGGGGAGTAGGCATACTCAGCTTTCCCCTCTGTTAAGTTGGGCATAAAAATTGGACATACAAACGATACGTTGTGCAGGATTTGAAGATATATTGTGTCATTGTTTATGTGTGACTGTCGTAGGTACAGTTCTGTTTTGTATGCGTGTAGGTACGTTAAATTGCATTTGTGTACATATTCCTCCCCGCAAAAAATTACAAAACGATTTGAATAATATAATAACGCTATGGCTACTAAGAGGAGCTCGATGGGTAAGCGCGTTTGGCTGCGATCGATGAACTTAAGCAACTTTCGCAGTGGTCGGTCATTAGATGGGTGACCAAAAATTACTATCTCGAGCTCCTCCGTGCTTCGGAAGGCACGTTAAGCCGTTGGTCACGGCTGCATCTGCAGTCGTTAGCACCCACCAATCCGCACTGGGCCCGCGTGGTGGGTCATGGCCCAGCCTCCCTATTCCATCCATAGGGAAGGCCTGTGCCCCAGCAGTGGGGACATTAATAGGCTGATGATGATGGCTACTCCCTTCCGTGTTGCTATAAGGTGCTATCTAATAAAGGTATAGTCATGATATACAATAGACAGTAATAGTAATAAGGTTTTTGTTATGCGCAGTGCTTCGTGACATGCGCCGTGGGTTTGAACATAGTGGGCCATGGGTGTGTGCTCGGCTATCCGGCGATCCTGCTGCCACAACTGCACAGCTCCCAGTCCACCATCAAAATCACCAACGAGGCTGATTCGTGGATAGGTAAACATTTTTGGATATCATATAAACTAGTACTAACTAGTTTATACTAGTACTAACTAGTCGGCGCACACGGGCCACAGGCCACAGCCACAAACGCCGCCACGAGAAGCTAGAAGCGGCTACTAAAGTGGCTGAAGCGAGCGACAGCGGCCGACTAAGCTAACGGAGAGAGGGGTGGGGAATCGTGTGACGTGAGTGACGTGTGGCGGCGTTTTGTATCGGCGCATTAAGTGGCCGGTGCGGGCCACAAGAAGCGAGCAACGACGATTTGCAGCGTGTGGCGGCCACCGGCGTACCGTGTGTGGCGAGTCCATATAAAATGTATGAGAACTACAAGAAATATGCCGGTGGCGGCGTTTTGTGGTTGTGGTCGGTGGCCCGTGTGCGGCGACACTTACGTACATTATTGATCACGAAAAAACTAGGTTTTTTATGTTAAAAGTGCAAATAAGAGTATGGCCCTGGTGGTTAACGGCCACCATATCCTATAGACGCTTACGATACCAAAAATATCACTCGCATCGTTGCTTACCCTGACCCAATCCCTTACCCCTTGGCGCCCTGAACCCTACTCACCGGCAGAAACACAAAACCACCAGATGGTGCTATTTTCCTGTGGTCTTAAACACATAACACAGAAAGAGGTTAGAGCCTTGTGGGTGGGGTAGGCGCGCCATAGTTATAATCATAATCAAAATATTTATTCGACATAGACATGGATACATACTAATGTTTACACTTGTACATATATATATATATAGATGGACAACAATAAACATTCACTTAATACCTATGTACCTGTGTCCACAACTGAGCCGATGGGGCCCAGTTCAGCATTGTGTCAGTTTTCACTGACGCTGTTTTTCAACTGGGTCCTTTTTCTGACATGTGGATGCCAAACACCATGATACGAATACACATAAGTCATGTGAGCCAACGCTTATAACTTGACTAAAACTTGGTTCTGATTACGTCGTTGCTCTCGGGTGTAAGCGCCGATTGGTTCGATTGTGTGATGTCAGGTCGTTTCATTGGTTATTATCTATTAGTTGGAAGTGTAGTCGACATCGAGCCGGTGACATCGGTTCCCGTACAAACGGTCTATGATAACCCTTGTAACCTCTCTCTTTGTTCTGTGATCCTAAAGGTGGAATATTGTATTGTATTGGTGGAAAGTTATATTGTAATTGTGGTGCTCGTGGTACGGAGACGGGTAAGAAACTGACTGTGTGTCATACTATATCATCCAAATATCTGTCGTTTTTGCGTGTTGACGAATATCATTATCCAAACATACAAACCTTCACATATATAATATGAGTACGATCCATCAAGTTGTTTATTTACATTTGCGTAAATTGTATATTAGATTATTGTTAAGTTTATTCATAAGAACACCAAGTACTGCGATACCCTCACAGGGTTCATGTAACCTACTTTATAACATGTATTTAACAATCTCTCAATAAATTATTTTTATTTGACAGCATCTATAACGGCAGTGATGATGCTGGTCGGCTCCTCCGTGGTGTCGCCTATAATGGAGCGGTGCGGCCGCAAGGTGGCGCACTATGCCCTCACGCTGCCAGTCATAGCAGGCTGGGCTATCATCATAGTGGCTACTAACATCCCGGTAAGCAACGAATTCTGATTCTTGGCCCCTTCATTCGAAGGCAAATGGTAATAAAGTCATTGCCCCCACTTCAGTTTTATAATTCCCTTTTTGCCTCCGGTAGCAATCCCCGCGGAAGTGAATGGGAACAAAGACCTTAGCTTTGTATCAGTAGTTCGGTTTAGTCCAGTCAAGCGAACTTATCAGAGGCGGCTCTAGCCCTTATAGCGTTGGTGTGCAATCATTAACCAAGCGTTCTCCAGTAAGCGGTCAAAATGTAATGATAGCGAATGACACTCGGTGCCTCCTGACACTTCTCGTCTTACATGTTAATTTCAACGATCACAGCCGACCGCGATAACCACTTGCACCACTGAGCTCCTCAATGATAGTACTCCTTCTTCTCGATAATAGCAACAGTACACGTTAATAGAAAACTTCTGTTCTTGATCTTTTATATTCATCATATAAAATAAACCTTTAAACGCCCACAATATTTTCCAGACTATATTCATCGGTAGAGTGCTGGGTGGGCTGTCGTTCGGCATGCTGAGTCCCCTACGCTCCATCCTCATCGGAGAGTTCACCAGCCCCAAGAACAGAGGCGCCTTCCTTACCACGGTGGCTCTCACGCAAGCCTTCGGTATATTCTTTGTCCACCTCATCGGATCGCTCATGTCCTGGCGGATGACTGCCGTAGTCTGCGTAACCTTCTCCATAATCAGCCTCGTCATGATCTTCTACTCACCTGAATCCCCTAGCTGGCTAGCTGCCCAAGGAAGATACGACGAGTGCAGACAAGTATTCAAATGGTTGAGGGGCGACGGAGAAGATGAGGAATTGGAATCCATGATCCAAGCCAGAATTCTAATAAGGAAAGCCAAACCACCGGAGACTAAGAGAACCAATCGTTTCCGAGACATGTTGAAGACTTTAAGAAAGCGAGAGTTCTACAAGCCGATCACGCTTATGGTACACGCGAACTTCTTGACGAATTTCGCAGGCGGAACTTCCATGGCCTCGTATTCTACTTTAATATTGGGTATACTTTTGGGTCCGCAAGCAAACGCGCATTTCTGGATGATAGTTCTGGACACCCAGAGAATTATATCGAACGCCGCTGCAGTTTACGTCATAAACAAAACAAAGAGACGCACAATGATGTTTGCCACAGGAGGACTTTGTGTTCTAAGCGTTCTGGCGATAGCGGTGTACATACGTTTATACGAAGCAGGAAGGCTGGTTGACGTACCACGCAATATGGATACCTGTGATTTTGATCAATCTGCAATACTTTTCTGTGGCAACTGGCATGGTTCCTTTGCCGAACGTCATAGCTGGTGAGGTGTTCCCTCTGGAATACAAGAGTATAGGAGGAATGATCAGTATTTGGTCAGCGGCAGGGTTTATGTTCCTCTGTCTGAAGACGTTGCCAGGTTTGATAGAGAGTATCGGTCTGCACGGCACGTATGTTATGTACGCCGCGATTTTATTCTACAATCTAGTTGTGATATGGTTCTTATTGCCGGAGACGAAAGGCAGAACTTTGCAGGAGATAGAGGATGAGTTTAGAGGGCGACCTCTGGCAGCCGAGGAGATGGCTGCCAGGATGTCTATAGAAATGGACCCGATAGTCGCATTCAAGAGGAGAGAGTCGGAGAGAAGATGTAGTGTCCCATTGCTGAGTTAAAATCTATTTAAGATGCTCGCTAATCTAGTTACGATCACGGATATCTGTAGACGCGACTCAAGATAATAGGGACCTTGTAACAAAATTACAAACAAATTGGCACCTACAGTTAACAACAATATAGTTTACCACAAAGTATCCTTTTTATTCAATCGATGGAGATCTCCTACCTACCAGAAAGAAGAAAGATAGAAAAACATTTATTGACGACATACATTAACAATTACAATAAATACACAACTAACATAAAACAAAAGGTACATCGTCAACTAGGCCCCACCTCAGCATAATGTTGCAACGGCAAAAATGGATTGCCGCTCCAACGCTGATATTCGGGAGGGACCCTAATTTGGACATCAACGGACGGAGACACAAGACAATCACCTAACATACAAAATAAGAGAAGATATTAATATTAACACTAAACAAAAACAAAAAGCAAAAACAATCATTCTGTACCCAAGGATGTGAAGTCAATCACAAAAACAAAAAAACTTAAACTATAAGGCTCAGCTCTTTGCCTTCGGATACACACAAAAGAAGAGAGAGAAAAAAATATTAAGAATAAAACAAAATGGAGACAGGACGACACGTAATAAAACCACGTCATCGGACTATTTTACTACGTTGCCACGTAAAAACCGGGCCGAGAAAGACGAACGAAATTCTGTATCCGTGGCCTGAAAAACCGTTCGCAGAATGCCGGAGCGTCTTCACCGAAACTACGAAACAGAAACTAAAAATAGAAGATTTACCGTTTTCGATACTTGGTCTGTTAATTTTAAAAGTAGGTACATAAAAAGCAACTAGAACAATACGGAAAGAGAAGAAATAAATAAAACAGCAGTATTATTTTTCTATAATATTCTATATTATTTGGTACACGATACTTCGCTCTGTCCAACCATACGTGGTGATGTTGGCTTGTTCGACCACTAGTTTTTTTTTGGCAATAATATATTATTTATCAATTTATAATTATAATCGTCTAGGATATACAAAAACAGTCTGTACACGGGCTCTCCAGTATAGTTGCACAGGCGATCGCTTAGTTACACTGTACAATTTTCATGGCGGCACATGACTTGGCTATTCGTATTTGCTATTTGTAAACTTGACAAAGGTCTGTCCTTATCATGTTTTTAAGGAATGAAAAGGACAGACTGATGTCAGGTTTACAAATAGCAAAAACGATTAGCCAAGGGAAGTGCCAGCATCACACATAGACTTGGGTTTCAGATCAAAATGGTAGCGAGCGCGGCGTTCCTTACGACCAAACCACCATGTAAGAATGTTTACAATTATGCGCTTTATTCTCATTGGAACAAAAGTGATTTTAGAAAGTGTATACATAAATACTAACCTCTTCATTGTTCAACATCGATTTTATAAAATGGTTCAAGCAAAATTCTATTTATTTACAATTCTGTTTTATACTTCCGGATATATCTATCGACCCACCTAGCATTTTACGTTTTCACATACAGTGTTTTAACGGTAGCGACAAAACTCTGTATGTCAAAAAAACATAAATTTAACATCGACCAAAAAGTATTTACGCATTTTTGAAGCTGATTTATCAACCATCTTTTCGTGTGTTTTAAATAATATATTATTATTTCTCAACCTAACTTAATTATATTTTTGCTACAGACCCTTGAAATCTATAGCACTAAATGGGCCAATAGATGTGTCCGGAAGTGTACATTACACATAAAGGGATAAGGTGTCCTACAGAAGACATTAAAACACCCATTAGAATAGATACAGACAACATCCGTACTGCACATTATCCACGACTCTATCATTAAGACAATAAGGTTGAACTTTCGGGTGATTTGAAATTTAAGTTTCTTACTTCTTCACTTCAAAAGCACGGTTTTATGATAATTTAATAATATTAAGATAATTAGCTCCACATTTCTCTCTCATATTAACTGACAAATTTCTCACAAACATCTTATCTGCGAATATTTCAAACACCTGTTGTAAAATTATGGATTGCAAATAAATGATTTATGAAATGTTGCATTTGTTACATCACCGCGCCCGCGCATCTTAGGATCATAGAAACAATAACATAAGCCAATCGACAGAGATCAAAATGAACAGCGGAGTCTTAACGGCAAACACGGGTCATTTAAGGGCATTTTGAAAACGGCATTCTGTTACAATGCGAATAGGACTAATCTGCGCGAATTTGAGAAAAGATTTGTGATTTTGATTATGGCTAGTCTCGTGTCCCGGGTCTTTGAGAGCTTCGCGACATTTCAAATCCTAGTCGTATAAAGAAATCACATCAATAACAAATTTATTCTAAATTCATTATGTTTTATTCGCGGATGTGTACGAACAAAATTCGCTTGCTTTGATGCTTATCAATTTCACATATCTACGCCTCAGACGGCGAGGTTACCAACGAACATATTAAAGAAAGACCGCATGAAACAAAATGCTTACAACCAGAATTGGGACCAGTTCCGCCTTCCGAATAAGTCAGAAAACACCCTTAAAAAGACACGCGCATTCCAACTCGCTGACAAGACAACGCAACGCCACTTCTATACAAATAAGTTAATGACTTACAAAATTACAATATTGACTTTAACATAATTACATCACTGGGTTCTCATTAAAATGATTTTTTCAAAGAATAGTTTACTTTAAACTTTTAACAGTGTGATAAACGTATTCTTGAAAATAATAAAAATGTCGTCAACATATAAAACAATACCTTAAGGCGAGTAGAGATGTTCATATTTTGTAATGTACGGTGTCCTTTGAATGTAGTTACACAGTAATGGACCAGTACAGTACAATATTTTTTTTTAAATAAAACGTTAATTTTTATAAAATATAGAAATGGCATCGTCAAGTGTAACTAATAAAACAACAGTCCAATCAAAATTTAATTATTAAAAAATTGGACTAAATCAATAAAATGGCTTGCGTCCCTAACTGTACATTAAATAAAAGCTTGGCGCTGTAAGCAAACAAGGCATACGGGTATCGCCACGAAGCTTTCGACGAATAACCTAGACGATTTAAATCAGTGAAAAATACCTATATAAGGCCCTCATGCATCGCGAGTCGACGATCTTTACAATAACTATATTAATATCCAAAATATTACATTTGCATCGCCGAGTCAAGAAACAGATGGCAACACATCCTTAAATACATCATTTTTATAACTTAAAATATAGGTGATGGATGTAATTTTGCATATACGGGAACAACCCACCCACATTTCTCAATTAGTAACAATATAAAAACCAGACATTTTCTATGCAAATGTATAGGTCAATTAATATAACTATGACAATAAATAAATATATGTTATTGCAACATTGGTCATTCATTTCCAAATTAAGCGTAGTCTGTCTGAATAAGGGAAATGTACAGCCATCAAAGTTAATGGGGTTGAGAAAAATCCTCGAAAGTATCAAAGAAATTAAAAAGAAAATACTTTTGGTATAGTGTTCATTGTTTTTACCTACCGATTTTTGAAAATAGAATGTCCTCTTCTGTAAGGCCCGTTTTACAGAATGACAACTAAGTGTTGATCTTTACTTGAGTACAGTTAGAAAGGGATATCGCTATGTGCTATATACAGCGACATCCCTTTCTAACTATGCTCAAGACTAGATCAATCACTGAGAATCTTTCTATAATACGGGCCTAAGAATGTTTCACTTACAATATCTCGACATACTCTCACATTACCAAAACACGTAGTACAAGTGATTATTGCCTTAAAATGGCTATTCCTTAACTTCGGCAACTGAACAGAAATATCATGAGCACTCATGATTATGCTTTCACCCAAAAGCTTTTGCCCTTAAAGCCTTTCGAGTGAATTCCCACCCCAGTTTAAATTTAGCAAATATTACCACAAAAAAAAGTAAGTATAAAATGCGGCTGGTTTCATTATGCATAATTACATCCAACAGTAAAATATATAAAGTTACCTGGAGCTCACTCCGTGATCTGTAGACAGAATATATATTAATTTCTACTAACTGATAAGAAGTATGTACTACTTCTTTCATTGTCAAATAACAAAAATTATATTACAAAAAAACGATTCGATCGAAAAAGCTATTAAGATTTGACGACGCGCAAGCGCACAATGTACATGTAACAATCACCCGAAACTAAAATATTTACAGGCTTTATTAGTTAAAATAATGTTGGATCATTCTTACATAGACGACTCGCATCAACATAGCTGACATATTATGAAAATATGAATACATCAGGGTAGCGTTTGATATGAAGCTCATGCACAACAATAACAGTCGAAAAGTCCTCTCGAGTCAACGTAACATTGATTAAAAATGTCTCAATTGGAGTCCCAAAAAGCATGCCGCAGTGCAAAATAATACTTAACACCTCAAAGGTTAGGTTCAAAATCCTCCAAATAATTGAAACGCACGCACTCCCACACTGACCGTTTATCAGTTATAATATTCATTCGAAACATTTATAATTACATTTTAAAAATTTGTCCTAAGTAAATTTTTGTAATAAAAAATTCTTATTTGAATTAAATCTTTACAAAAAATATTACTTTTCCTACTTATCATTCCTTAGAAAAGGTGGTTGTAAATAAATTGCAATTTACGCAATATTGTTGCATTACTCGTTCGCGACAGAAGCATCAGTAGCTTAGGACAACTTATAGTCAACTAAGACGGAAGTTCAAAATCGCAGTGGCAATATGGATATTGTCTTACCATTTATTCAGATATTATACTGTGAATTGGCAACGACACATCACAGTGGGTATTTCTTTTGTTCAAATAGATCCAACGAAGTGCTTTTTCACACTTAACACTGTATGGGCAAATATTATCAAAGTTTTCGTAAACCCCTCTTATCATTGGCCTACAGGGTCCTACTATTTGATTTTTGCAAAATATTATGTCAATTGTATTTTAAACATCAACACCAGTCATTAGTTAAAAATTGATTAAACGGGTTTCAAAAGAGCACATATTCAGATTTAACGTCTTGTACTCACCGAAAACCGCTGGCTGGAAATTTGTTCTAAGAAAAAATTAATACCAAGCAAGAATTAAGCCAGCTTAAATCTGAAGTAAACATGGTTTTGAGCAATTGAATCCAATTTTCAAAACTACACCCGAACAAATACTATTGATTTTTAAATGTTTGCCGTAATAGCAGAATTATATGAGAGTATTTGCAGTAAATATTGGATTTGGCTCATTAATTGGATCAATCTCCTGATCGATAAAAACTAACTCACTGATGAAACCAGATTGCCTAAGATAAAGCTTTTTTTAAAATATCATATATTACAAATCATACAGGTTATGCAAAGTTACTTACAAACTTTGTTTCCACAAGTTGTACAATAAACCGTTTTAAGAAAATTACCCATGCATCCCATTAGCTTCAAAAGTACTTGGCCAGCTGCGTTACTAGTCTGAACGTAGATTAAATAACTACATTATTTTAACAAAACATAAAGTTGACATTCCAACATATACTGGGATGAAGAAGTTCATACTGATGAGAAGACGACAAGCACAGTTATAAATTAATCTATTTTTTTCTATATGATTCACTTGTTAATTCTGTTTTTTTTTTCAATGAATAAACAAGGCCTTCTAACCGTTTCACAACTCTCTTATCTTCAGTGTAGCTATTAAGTGATTAACTGATCACATTATATATCTGTTAACAAGTTTATTTATTCAAATATACTACTGTAACTGTATGTTGGGACACTGTCGATATTGGGACCAGGGATACTACAACATCGATATTTTAAAATTCAACAACTATTTATAATTGAAGCGCGAACAATGCAACTTATTACATCGCACATTTCTGAATAATTATTTTGTTCATAAACATTGGTTCATTAGCTGGGACTCAATTTGATTGGAAGTTTCATTGGACTTGTCTATTGTTCATGGAAATATAGTTTATCTTTGAAATAAATAAGCCCAATGCTCGAAAACCCCCTAATCCGCATAAGACTTTAACACGCTTCAGCTAAAGTGTTTTTTCGTGTATTTTAATTTCTCGAATGTTGCTAGCTTGTAAATATGAATCAATGAATTACTTTTTTATTTAATCTAAATTTAAACACTGAAACACAACACTGAAAATGTTTTAATAAAAATTATGTCTATGTAGTTCGATTCCCGGCTTAGAAAGCTATTGAATGCATCAATGCCTCTATATTGTCTATACCAGTTTAAGTTTCCTTCCTATATATTTTGTAGTTCAAACTTTCATAATCAATCTCAAAAATATATTTCAAAATCGTGAAAAAGAAAAATGCATTCAAAATAATATAATTTGTCTATATTGCTAAATTTGGAGCAGTATTGTTAAAAATTTCATTCGTGGATCTTCTTATAAATAAAATGTAATGAAGGATACAAAAAAAATCAAAAAACAACAATTTCTTAAAAATAATACAGTAAAAAATACTACCTTCAGAGCGTACGCGTGTAAACATTATAATAGAAACGCAGTCAAGTCAATGCTTATTAGATTTGCAAACGAGTTTTGCAATAGTCTAATGTCCTTGTGATTGCGAGTCCGATCATAATTCAATCCACTGTTTGAGAAACCTTTAGATTTTATCCGATTGAAATTGCACACACTTCACAGACACACTTTAATAAGACGCATATCGATCAACTGTTCGCAAACATTTCACTTTGTCATTGCACAGTCACTGTATCACAGTACGCATTGGCGACAGTCGTGGCGACATCGGCGACTTCAATGGCGACGGGGGCAACGCAGGCGACGAGTAGGTTTGGCTGTTGGAGAAAAAAATAGTATTATAAATGTAGTAGTGTCATCAGCAAATAGTACTGTCTCACACAAATCTCTTGTAAAGTGAGGAAGGTTATTGATATAAATAAGGAAAGACAATGGGTCCAATATTGAACCCTGAGACACGCCCATAGAAATGGGTGCTCCTGTAGATTCAGCTTCATTTATAACTACTTTCTGAATTTTATTAGAAAGATAAGACTGTATCAGACTTAGTGAAATATTTGATACACCGTAATGCTTCATTTTATTTAACAATGTTTCAAGGCTAACGCAGTCAAACGCCTTTAATAAGTCCAAAAAAAATTTTAATAGCATCGTGCTCACTCTCTCATACATAAAAAACGTGTTAGAAAAATGCATTTCCAGCATTAGTAGTAATTTTGCCTCTAGTGAAACCAAACTATTTAAATAGCTTATTTAAAGAAAAGTGTGCTAATGATTGGTTGTACATTATTTCCTCAAAAACTTTACTTAGCGCTGGTAATATAGATATATATAGGCCTAAAATTGCTGGGATCTGATTCGTCATCGGCCTTTAAAAGAGGGATAACTTTAGCACATTTCATTAGATCTGGGAACACTCCCTCATCAATACATTTTTACAGGGTGTAAAAAAACGATATTTTTAAAATTTTAAATTTATGGTTATGGAGATATTAAAGGTCAATGTCACATTTTTTTTCAAGATCTATAAATTAATATTTTCAAAACGATATTTAGAAACTTTTCTATCGACGCACTTACACACACGCACACACATACACACAGGCACATTCTTTGCGTAGCGCCACAGTAGCGCGCCGCGCTATACATTGCGTACTGAAAAAAAAACGTATTTTTTTTACTTAAAAATACAAATGATTTCCTAGTATAATACTTTGTAATATTACTTGTTTGGGTCTTTGTTATAGGGTTTTTTATACCCTGTATGTAGGGTATTGAATATGGTGGGAGTACAGTATACGTACTGGGTCAGCGCGCGCAGGCCCCGCACACGTAGTCGTCGTCGTCTCGCAGCGCGTCGCGTCGCAGCCCCACGCAGTGCATGTGGAACCACTGGTCGCAGCCCCCGTCGCACTGCACCCAGTCCACTTCCTTGCCTGATGTGGGGGGAGAGGACGAAATCGATCACTTGACTTATTGTCTTTCAAACTAACCACGATACGAAGAAAAAAAAATGGATGCGTGTAACTTATGTACGCGCGTGAGAAGTTATACTTCTTTAGCATCATTAAAAATATTTTTTAATTGCATGCAAATAATTAATAATTACAATAAAATAATAAAAGGACTGGAAAAGGATAGTTAACACAGTCGATTAAGTTCAGTTTTAATTTGAAAAATTAAATAAATATTCAATTAAAATCACTACTGAATTTAAGTTATTAGTCCATATGTAATTAACACTTGTAAGTAACTAAAACACGTTGTGTCTATATAGAAACTAGAAACATGTGGATAAATATTATAAACATGAAAACAGTGATCAGAGGCGACGAGCGTGCCAACATTGTTTTTGACAACGCGATCATCTTATGGAGCTCCGTGGATCGTTCAAAGTACCTTTCGATTACCATTATTAGACACTAACATTCATAACGCGCCCGCGGCCAACTTCATGGTGTTACTATTGTGTTACAGTGATGCGCGCGCATCTCGAAATTTCACTCACATGATTTTTTCATAACGCGCCCGCGGCTAACTTCATTATGTTACTTTTGTGTTACAGTGATGCGCGCGCATCTTAAAATTTCACTCTCATCATTTTTTCATAACGCGCCCGCGGCTAACTTCATTATGTTACTTTTGTGTTACAGTGATGCGCGCGCATCTTAAAATTTCACTCTCATAATTTTTTCATAACGCGGCTAAAGAAGTATAACTTCAAAAATCTACATATTGGAACTGAAATGACGATAAGACGGCGAACGACGAAATAGCAAATTCAAAAGCCTCCCGCTCTTTTTGCATTGGTAAATTATTTAAAAAAAAAACCGCCAAATGCTCGTCGGACTAGCCCATGAAGAGTTCCTTGCAGCAAGTAACATAATAAAACCTGCCTCCCGCGCGCTCTGCATCCTCTACCAATCAAATCAAGATCAAAACACGCCCCGCGCGAATTATAATTATTATTAACTTACGCACCTATTACAGACTTATTCATAACGTTTATGTTTATGAAATTAAATGTTTTTGAAGACCTATCCATAGATACCCCACACGTATGGGTTTGAAGAAAAAAAATTTGACTTTCAGCTGTAAGTATGGGGAATCCCAAAATTTATTGTTTTTTATTCTATTTTTGTGTAAAAATCTTAATGCGGTTCACGGTATACATCTATAATGCGATTCAAAAAAATATTTTAGTGAGTGAGCAAAAAAGTATTTTATTTAATAAAACTTCCAAGTTTAAGTGAGAAAAACATCAGATTTTTTTACTCAAATATTTACTAAGATTGAGAGAAAAAAACAACTAATTTTTAATAATATTTATTTATTAAGACTGTGTGCATCCTTTCGGTAAACGAAAGTTTTAAATTGAGTTTCTGAACGCAACTTAAATTGACATTTGGTTGACGGTTTAGGTTATCAACCATTCATAGCCAAAGCTCAATAAAAAAACGAATTTGTAGGTCTGGACACGCTCTACAAGTTTTATTTTAAACATTTTTCGATATCTTTCACCAGAAAAAAGTAAATAGCGAAAAAAAAAATTCTCCCCAAATTTTTGATATTTTTGATCGATATCTCGAAAACGACGATCGATACGTGAAAAATGCATGGGACCTTAATTGTAGATCGCGAGAGGAGCAACAAAAAAGTATTCTATAAAAAATTTCGTATCTCAACGTTGAATCGAGTTATGACGAAAAAACTGAATTTAAGGGTTTTTTCAAGATGGCGGAAATTGCACAAGGTTATTTTGGTCCACAATTTGAACTTAAGCTTTTATAGCCACCCCCCACGTGATATCCAAAATTTGGCTTTCTCGGGTCATTTTCACTTTTAAATGTATATAATGACTGGACTAACAATGAATATTCAAGGAAAGGCAGAACTACAACTCCTTCAAATTGTTTTTTTCTAATATTCATATTCGCAAAACATTCGCAGAGATTTTGCGAATGCGAATGTGAATGCGAATATTCAAAAATATGCGAATATTCGCGAATGCGAATGCGAATATTCGTTACATCACTAATCAAAACCCATCCCCACAACAACTCTCCAATTCGTAACGTCAAAGTGACAGTTCTAATATTGCCATATTCAAAACTTAAAAATATAACATGCTCAAAGGGACTGTGATTGCATGAAAATATTACAAGTATTTAATATCAAAGAAGTGGACTTATCTCTAATCGATATCCTAATAATCATGTCAAAAGAAAAATTAACCCCTAATGATGTTATGAAGAATCAAGTTACCCGTAGGCCTCAAGCAGTCTGCCGCGGCACAATCTTCATCATCATCGGCGGAAGACTGCGAAGAACTGGTGCTGTGTCGCCGCCGCGTCGCCGCTGCGGCCGCTCCACCGCTCGCATTCGCGCCGCGACCTTACATAAAAAACCACGTTATTTCTGATTTTGATATATTTATCTATACATATATATAAAAATCAACTGCTGTTCGTTAGCCTCCCTAAAACTCTAGAACGGCTGAACGGATTTATCTTATCTTGGTCTTGAAATGTTCGTGGAGGTCTAGGGAAGGTTTAAAAGGTGAGAGAATATGGAAAAAATGCGAGGAAGATAGTAAAAACGTCAACTTAATTTTCCCATATAAACTATTTTATCTTCTTTCCTGTCAAACATTTGACGTTGGTCCCTTTTGGTACGGTAGACTCGGGATCCGTCTTTTCTTCCAAATTATTTTAACCCGTACGAAGTACGCGGGGTCAACTAGTTTATGATAAATAATACGAAATTTAAAGAAAATTTTACTAGAAAAAATTCCACGCGGATCAGGTTGCAGACGGGACTCGAACCCGCACCCTTCGCTATCCGGGCGAATGCACTGACCATTATGCTACCACGGCCCTATTAGCCGCGTCGAAATTTTCCTAGCTTTAAGCTGCAAGGCAGCGCCATCTCTTCGCATTGTAGGTAACCCACAATGTCAAATGAATACTTTTTCAAGTATTAAACATTTGAAAGAAGGAATAGCAATTATAGTTATGATTTTATTTATTTTTTAAGCATTTAACTGCTAGATGTTTAAATCTAAAGAAAAGTTTACTAGAAAAAAAACAATGCGAAGAGATGGCGCTGCCTTGCAGCTTAAAGCTAGGAAAATTTCGACGCGGCTAATAGGGCCGTGGTAGCATAATGGTCAGTGCATTCGCCCGGATAGCGAAGGATGCGGGTTCGAGTCCCGTCCAATCAACAATACCTTTTTCAAATACCTATTTTCAAAAGTCCCTCAGAATACGTACCCATTCTTGCCTGCCTGGGATGCTTCCCCCTGGTGGTGGCGGCGAGGCCTCGCTTGCGTCGCTCCTGGCGCGCCATGTAGTGCTTCCTCATCATCAGACCGGAGCCGGATGATAAACCCTAAATACAAACACATTGTATTGATTTTTTGAAGCGAAAGTTCTTAGGCACGCTTGACTTGGGTAGTAAACTGGCGAATTGGCGGGTGAAAATGGATCTAGCGCGGATTGGTGGGTGTAAATGGACCTAGTGCAGATTGGAGGGTGATAACGGACCCAGTGCGGATTGGTGGATGATAACAGACCCATCGCGGATCGGTGGGTGAAAACGGACCCAGTGCAGATTTGAGGGTGATATCGGACTCAGCGCGGATTTGTAGGTTTTTCTTCTATCAACAAATCTTCAGGTTACGTTTATGATTTTAAAATCATTGGAGCTAAAATAAAGTCACTTCAGTCGTGTGGTCACAAGCACACTCGCTTTTTCTTAGATTTATTAAACACATTGTGTTAAATCTATACACATAACCAAGGAACAAGTCATATACTAGTTTTAAACAAAACTTGAAGAATACTTTTTGTGACATTAATTCGTTTACACCGCATAGACAACGACTACTTACAAATATAAATCATTATTTACTTCACATACAGACTAAAAACTACGCATTCTGTACACCCAAACAAAATATTATACATGGGAAGCAGTTGTATTTTAAGTTAAAAAAATACATGATACATGTATTACAGCTTGGTGTAAACGAGGGATTAGGGATAGACTGAGCTTTAAGTATTAAGCTATTTTGGCCTGTGCTCCAGCAGTGGGGACATTAATAGGCTGATGATGATGATGATGATGAGCTTTAAGTGTGCAGATAAAAGTGTAAGACACACTCTGTGTCCATTACTCAATGGCCGCGCTATAGGTTCTCTTGATAGAAAGTTGTGGATTTAATGAAAGAGACGCGCAGTTTATGTCTATGATATTAATCAAACCCTGACAACAAACACAATATTGTCAGATTATTATCTTAATATATATAAATCTCGTGTCACAATGTTTGTCCTCAATGGACTCCTAAACCACTTAACCGATTATAATAAAATTCGCACACCATGTGCAGTTCGATCCAACTTGAGAGATAGGATAGTTTAAATCTCAAATTATAATCGCAATTTTAATTTATTGCTAATTATTACTTTTGGGCGGTACGAAGTTCACCGAGTCAGCTAGTTACTTTATAAAATACTGGACTTTGGTCCTAAATACGCGACGATTTTAGACTTTATAAAATTCACAGCGAAATGGCACACTTTTTTAATTACGTGTAAAAAGAGCAGCAAGACAATCTTAAACTCCCGCCCGTCAATCCGCTACTTCCTGCTTCACTTAAGCTTTTGTATTATTAGAATTTAAGATTATATATTATTGAAATATAGGTTAATAAAACCTCACGCAGATATGTTAACGCTAAAGGTTAAAAAGTAAATTCAAAGAATAGATATTATCTGATGTAATGAATATTTTAAAGAGTTGAAACTTTAAGTTTTTTTAGAAATAGTCAGTAATCTCTGGAACGACTAAATCTGTTTTGAAGATTCATTATTTTTATGTAAACCAGACTATATTTTATCACATTGAAATACACATTAAGACTTTTAAATAAGTGCTAAAGTTATGAAGGAATATAATTGATAATTACCTGTTTTCTGTTGAGATAATTCGTGGTGGTGGCCGAGCCACGCTTAAGGGTTGTCTTTGGTGCCGCTCCTGCAATATACAATGTTTTATTAATGTTAATGGTTTATGTTCACTATATTCACCTCGTAAATAATAATAAATCGTTTATTTTCAGAACACAAAGAATGTGGTAGCTTGACTGTGCACACAATATCACCCATGTCCATTTCAACTGATAGCGCACCAAAGTATGGGCAGCTCCACTAAGCTCGTCTATATTCGCCACTTGCATTGGTCTTCTTCAAACTTGCCCCATCGTCTAAACCAGTGATTCCCAAAGTGGTCTATATCGACCCCTAGGGGTCTATGACAACTTGCAAGGGGTCTACGTCAGCGAAAAAAAAATCAATATCAGGTAAGTAGGGGGTCTACCCAATACGGAGAAACATGGCAAGGGGTCTACGACACAAAAAAGTTTGGGGAACTCTGGTCTAGACGGTAGTACTTGCCTGTATCAGTTTGCCTACGCTCGCGTTGGGTTAAGCTCTGCCAACATGCTTTTGCGGGGAAATGGGAAAGTTTGAGCAACGATATAAAATACTCTAGATATACCACGTGCGCTCAAAATGTGTCCCAAGCATGTGCTTGAACACCACTTAAGCACTTCTGATTTCACATTCACGCGCGACCGTTGAAAAGTCAAGTTGCCGCAGAGCTTCGTGAAAAAATACGAAGAAAATACTTATAATATGTAAAGTGTCGTTTTTTCGACAGCTATCTAATCAATGTTTGTTAATTTAACGCATTTGAAGCAAATTTTGTTCTAATACCTACTTATAAACTGATATAATAGAAAATATTTGTGATATTCAAATGCATTGTCGTTAATATAGCCGTCTCTTTTCCTCGCGGTCCGTACCTGCTACATTGTTATAAGCGCGTTCAAAATTGCGCGTAGAGTCAAAGAAATAAGGTCTTTATTCTTCCGCATATAGCAATTAGTCGTAAAATTTTACGAGCTTGCATTTTAAACTGTCGTTACTCTTTGACTCATGCGTTTTAATTAAGACATTATACAGTATGCATTAAAGGTGACTTTGAATGTTTAAATAACGCCTTACATTGTTTTTGACTACGCGATCACCTAACGGAGCTCCGTGGATCGTTCAATATACCTTTTGGACATATTTCGAGCACGATTTTGTTCGTGTTGGTGTATCTGGTGTATTTAATATAATTGAGTTTGAGGGACAATCATTGTCGTTCTTTGTGGAGTATGATTATTATTTACAAAGTGTTTATCGGTCGTATTATATGTCCCGCTTGGTTTATTTGTTTATAGTTGTCAATGATCTATATATATAAAAATCAATTGCTGTTCGTTAGTCTCATTAAAACTCTAGAACGGCTGAACGGATTTATCTTATCTTGGTCTTGAAATATTCGTGGAGGTCTAGGGAAGGTTTAAAAGGTGAGAAAACATGGAAAAGTTTGCGAGGAATATAGTAAAAACTTCAATTTAAGTTTCCCATATAAACTGTTCTATCTTCTTTCCTGTCAAACATTTGACGTTCGTGCCGTCATTTCTTCCAAATTATTTTAACCCGTACGAAGTACGCGGGACCAACTAGTTATTATAATGTGTTTATCTATCAGTAACGTGTTGTTAGTCGGGAACTTACCCCTATGCTGCGTGGGCCTAGTCCTCTTGTGTTGATGGTGATGGTGCGGGGGCCGCTGGGGCCGCTTCCTCCTGCCCGCGTCGAGCACCCCCCCCCCTCCCCCCCCCCTCACCCGTGTCGCGGGCCGTATACTCCCCCTAGCTGCGTGGGCTAGTCCCTTGTGTTGATGTGATGGTCGGGGGCGCTGGGGCGCTTCCCCTCCCGCGTCGAGCCCCCCCCCCTCTCACCACGTGTCGCGGGCCGTATACTCACCCCTATGCTGCGTGGGCCTAGTCCTCTTGTGTTGATGGTGATGGTGCGGGGGCCGCTGGGGCCGCTTCCTCCTGCCCGCGTCGAGCACCCCCCCCCCCCCCCCCCCCCTCACCAGCGTGTCGCGGGCCGTATACTCACCCCTATGCTGCGTGGGCCTAGTCCTCTTGTGTTGATGGTGATGGTGCGGGGGCCGCTGGGGCCGCTTCCTCCTGCCCGCGTCGAGCACCCCCCCCCCCCCCCCCCCCCTCACCAGCGTGTCGCGGGCCGTATACTCACCCCTATGCTGCGTGGGCCTAGTCCTCTTGTGTTGATGGTGATGGTGCGGGGGCCGCTGGGGCCGCTTCCTCCTGCCCGCGTCGAGCACCCCCCCCCTCCCCCCCCCCTCACCAGCGTGTCGCGGGCCGTATACTCACCCCTATGCTGCGTGGGCCTAGTCCTCTTGTGTTGATGGTGATGGTGCGGGGGCCGCTGGGGCCGCTTCCTCCTGCCCGCGTCGAGCACCCCCCCCCCCCCCCCCCCCCTCACCAGCGTGTCGCGGGCCGTATACTCACCCCTATGCTGCGTGGGCCTAGTCCTCTTGTGTTGATGGTGATGGTGCGGGGGCCGCTGGGGCCGCTTCCTCCTGCCCGCGTCGAGCACCCTCCCCCCTCGCGACGCACTGCCCCCCTCCGCGCCCCGCGCGGTCCATACGCAAGCCCATACTTGGCTCTGTTCTTCTAGCCGCACCTATAATCATATTTACGACAATGAGGATCCGTAACTGTTTTAGTTGGGAATGCAGATTTATAGGGCAAAAACTTCTATAAATTACAGTGGTTAAATTTTTGTTCTACGACAAATATTAACGAAGTTGTGACCGAATTACTAATCGAATTTTTGGTCGGCCGCATGGTGACTGTGACGTCACAGAGCTCTAGCGTGCGCAGAGACGCTACTGAAGTTCGACTGGAGTGAACCATGATCCAGCTCTGTGACGTCACACGTTTCGGCCGCCTGTGAATATTGGCTGCCATAACATTAGTTATAAAATCGCAAAGAATGAACCGATTTCGATGATTTAAAATGTATATTAACTAAAAAGCATGTTAATTCATTATACTGATGATTTTGAGGTGATTTGCTGACCTTATAATGATCCTCTTTACAGCCCCCTACAAAATACACTATATACACACAAATAAGGGGGGAATATCGGAAAGTCGCTAATACAAGGTACATTGTAACAATCCCGCAAATAACATAAATTACTATAATGTTAGTGACCATGAAAGTTTAAAACGATATGATGCCTTTTAACACTCAAAATAGGCAGAAACAGCCCACTGCAATACCTAATAACCTCCCCGAATATCTGTATAGACATACAGAATAGGGATGATGACTATTTTTTTTTCTTCGTTTATCAGGTACATTAGCAAAAAGTATTGGACACTTTTTTTTTTCTTTTTTCACATAATATCAACTTTGCAGAGATATATTGATTTGAAAAGTCGCATGACGTCACGTTTGAGTACACATTTAAGTGAAAATTCACTAAAAAGTGACATCACGAGCCCCTACTCCCAAACTTTGACGCGCTACAACTCTGTCATTTTTTGGTTGATTGCCCAAAGAAAAAATAAATGTTCATTATTTTTTGATCATCTAACTGACGGACTAAATAGAATTTCGTTTACTGTACCCCGTCATCACCCCAATTAACCGGGGGAGGGCTTCCTTCTCCAATACTCTCCCCCCACGCAATATTTACGTATATGCATAAAACATACGTAAATGAAATAAAACAAAACAATTATTTATTATCCTTTCGAGTCAGTTTTTTTTTCATGTTGCTTCTCATGTGATTTACCTGTACACCAAAATCGTTATAATACGAACAAATATCTATATCACACTGTGTTCCAAGTACTTACCTCTAGCAGATCACCTTCCAGCATGAGGTCCTCAAGTTTCTGAAGTAACCCTGGCGCTACCCTCGTCCCGGGGGACCGCGGCGTCGCACTGTAAGCGTGCTCCATACTGGCCGACGATCTGGACAAACGGGACCAATATAGGTACAATGCGATTCAACTCAGAATAAGACCGACTGGGCGCCATATTGTGACGTCATAGCTGTCAATAGGCTAGTTGACTCATGTCGAATTGTATTAAATAAATGTTTATTTCTTAAAGTATTTGGTCTAAGGAACCTAATTATATCGATTTCACTTCATAAAAGCAGAAGATTGCTGTAGAAATTTAATTTAAAAAAATATTTTTAGTCTATTGTTTTTAAACACTAATAACGCTTTCGCCACATCCGCCATGATTGTGACGTCTCTTGTTGTAGTAAACAACTAAATGTCATTCGCGTGTTACTGTGGGATTCTTTCGTCTGACTAAATTTATCTTAAAACACTTTTAACTTTAGAAATTAACCATTTAAAACCTTTTTCCAAAAAGGGTCAACTAGCCTATTCAAACCAGTTAGGTGAGCAAAAAAGGTTTTCTTCAATTAAACTTATTACAAAGATTAAGTGAGAAAATATATAAGGCCTAGAAATGTAATGCGACATGCTAAAGATAAAAGATTTTTTTTGTTGATATAATAAAAGTGTTACTTTAAACATAAACATGTTATCCAGTCTTCACTCTCTAAAGGTCGATTTCAATTATATAACAAAATAATAAAAATATCTTGCCAAGAACTTCTAATAGGCTATCTCATACTGGAGTTAGATTTTGAAATTGGCCATTACAGAATATAACATTACAGAAAAGATATGCGACTTACCTCGAATTTTGTGACATGTCGTGCACTCTTCCAGTCGCTTTTTTCAGTTCAGCATTTAGTTTGTCCGATTTTTCTCTATTGGCCTGTTAAAACACGTCATATTTTAATACATCGCTATTGTATTAACCCTTAATTTACCCGGTAGGTCCCTGGGACTCCATTGAAAACTTTCCGCGCTCATAAAATCGTTAGTTTTTGGAATTACAAATTGTGCGTTCCAATACCTTCACGCAGTGACGGTCCGAGTGCGGGGGAGAACGGACTTTGCCGTGCGCGGCTTCTATCGGTAAGTAATCACGCTAGTGGGGTCCTAATGTTATAGTTTAGTCTATGTACGGTATTTGTTACTGTGTTTTTTTTTACTTTCAGTTGATATAATGGCGTCTCGTAGTTGTATAAACGTCCTTGATGAAGATGCTTGACTTCATATATAGACGACTTCATATATTTGCCATAGTTGTACTAAGCCTGTATGCCTCAGCTGTACAAAAAAGTATGCAATAACTATGTCATCAACCGTGACTAGAAGGTCTTGCACGTTTTTTTTTCTTGTACAAACCATGTTCTTTTTTACTTTTTATAAGAATTGTTTATATTTTTGTTATAGGTATTTCTTTGAAAATTACTTTATAATATTGATTTGTTTTTGAAATGTTGACATTAGAAGATAGGTGTCATTATTTTGTTACAAAAAGTGCCATTATCTAAAAGTTCCTTAATAAAAGACTGTGATTGTATGATTTTAAGTAAAAAGTTAATATAATGTAAAACCAAATATATAAAAAGCAAATTAAACTAGCATTTCATTTTAAAAAATGGTTTATTTCCTATTATATTTACGATTTAAAACCCGGGAGTCCTGGGGACTCTACCGGGTAAAATGTGTATGTATGAAGTCACCGGGTAAACCAAGGGTTAAGCAAGTTTTTATTTTGAGTCGTGAAAGGTGTTTAAGTTCGGAATGTTCTCAAACGTTTAAATTAGTCATATACATACACACAGAAGCAGGAAGATGTTCCTCACTGTGGTACTAATTATTACATGCAAAGTCTCAAAGAACGTTAAAACTAATCAATAAACAATAATAAGTTCTGTGACTAGTTTTAACCTTCTTTGAGACTTTTTGTTAATTTTAACGAAAACATTGTTTTTCGCTGGCGTTGGTCTTCGAAAAAATAAATAAATAAATATCGTCATCTTCCAAATTTGTAAGGAAGTAGCCATTTCGTTCTTACGTCCGGCATTGGCGCTGCTTAGCTTTCATAGAAACTTTCACGATGCGATACGATCTGAGCTACTGTCACATAACGGAAACAGAACGGAATGGAGCTGTCAAAATTCGTGCTTGGGTCTCTGGTCTTTTAGGTTAATTTGTCACGGTGATTCGGCTGGCTAGAAGAGTACAGTTGTGTCGATTCTGACATATCCTTGTCATTCTCTATACAAAACGAAAAGGAGAGACTGATGTTAAATTTAGTTTTAAGTTTAGAGAATCATGCGAGAGTCAGCACCAGTGTCATGGCAGCTCTCTGGTGGTTATAGTAATATATAATTATTACAGTAAAATATACACAGTTTTAAAGGCATATTGTTACTAATACATTATGAACTGTATTTATATCTCTGCTGACTGGAATAATCTTATATATATATAGTCTATGTATATATGTATGTATATATAATTAATTCATAAATTCGTTTATATCCCTTGTTTCTTTTACTGACACCGCCGACTCCAGTTTTCTTTTAATCCTCTCCATCCAAAGGTTGTCTGGAAGCAATCGCTTTTAGCGATAACACCGCCCATTGAAGCACTCTTTTTATCCGACTGCGCAATGCAAGAGCGCGAAGCGCTACGCGCAGACAGGTCATAGTGTTTGATAGTCTTTTACAATTGTAATTTCCCTCATTTTTGTTCTGTGTTGTGGTGTTTTTTTCAATAAAGTATTGTGTATTGTATTGTAACATTGTCTGAAAATGAATGAGGATGATGATTATTATAGTTACCTGCGCGTTGTCATGGTGGGGGTGGGGGTGGGGGGGCAGGTCTGCGAGCGCGGGGCTGGCCAGCAGGGCTCGCGCTCCGTCCTGCCACGCCATCGCGCGCTCCGTCACGCATTGTAGGGCCTCGCCCTCCGCTAGCCGGACCGGCAGCTTTTGTAGCCACACCTGGGTGTAATGACGTCATCATAAGACTATTTATCTTATTACCACAAATCAGTACCCTTAGTATAATTTTAAGCTCACGAAAACTATCATAGTTTTCGTAATTGTAAATTATATTTCAATGTCCATTTTGATGAAAACTAACCAAATATACTTAAAATTTAAGAAGACGCAAATGATTTAATGATGTAATTTAAACTGTTTGCTTTTTTATTATCTATCTTTGAATTTATTTATGGATAACTTAAATATAATCCTTTGACATTTCTATTCTACTCATCAAAAACTTTCGTTTGACATAAAGGACATTGCTCGTTCCCCATACATTGAATGCCCTAGAACGCCCAGCAATGAGAAAATGCTAGTTATGTTCGGAATCATTCATAAACTCTATATAGGCATTTGTTGAGATACGGACAACTTGAAGACCCTGGCCTACTACAGAATGTAGTTGATTTTGAGGTTATAATTATTATACTTAATCGTAAAAGATGTACACTTTATATATTCTGAATAGATTTAGTGTTTACCTCTATGCAAGCACTTAAATAATATACATTAAATGAACATAAAATGCAATTATTAATAAAAATATTAAATGCTTATATTCATATTGATTAATGAGTGTTGTCAGTTGGCACCTACGATACCTATACCTTACCTGTAGTAATAATAGATTTCTTTTCAAATGAAATGTTCAGTCTTTCCATTTACCTGTTTCTATATTTTACTATCGGTAATTAGGTATGTACCTGGTTATCATTATGATTTTCATAAAAATAAACAGATATTATATGGGATGGGAGTATAAACTATCTTTACATAATTTCAGAAATAATCTTTTTATAAATATAATACTAGTAATAAGTATTATTAACTAAGGTATCTCTATTTTTCTTTTGATAAATACCTATGGTCGCCTCTAATGCATTTATTAAGGTAAACAATCTTGGCACAACTTTTTAACAGAATCACCCATTTAATAATAAAATATTAACGAAGCCAATAAACTATTAAAATAAATCGTTATTATAGACTGAATCCTTTTGAATCCAGTTATCAGTTGATTTTTAATTCTGTTTTTTCAATAAAAAGGAGTGCCAAGTTGGATGAATAGACTGTAGTATCTAGTAACAGAACTTTATTTTTTTATTTTTTTAAACAGATTGTCCGTTTACTATGATTAATTGCTAATATGTTAAAAAAATAATAGAAAGATAATAGTGAAGGACATTCTTTTGGGCATGCTAGGGCCGATTTCGTCGATGTCCTTTCTTGGTGTATTTCATTAATTACAATAACACCTAAAATCATAACCGAAAGTGACGTCATAATTTTGCATGCGGGCAAATTCAAGCAACTTCCGGGGTGTCGACCGCTATACTTATGGCTTTATTGTTCATACCCCAAAACTGATTAATGTATATGATCCATAGGACTTTTATACGACCGGCTCTCCGACTATTTACACTACGTCCGAAAATATGTTTCACTTCAATAGTCTAATTCTAGGCTAAAACTATCATCATCAAGCACATTTAATACATCAATTAAAATTTATAACAAATTGCCCAATACAATAATGAATGAAAATAATTACTTGACATTTAAAAATAAATTAAAGGAATTTCTAATTAACAAATGTTATTATAATGTAAATGAATATTTTAATGATAAGATCAGTAATTATTAATGTACATGTACAAATAATTTATTTTAATTACTTATTATATTTTTTATATTTAATTTTTGTGAAATTATTATAATTATTATTTATAATTAAATCAGATCCAATCCAATTATAACAATCAAAAATAAACATATAAAACAATCTAACATCCAATTTTAATTTTACTATTAGTGTTGTTCTTCTGAGAAGCGTATCCTCTCTTGTAATAACCAATTGCGTGCCCGACGGGGTCCATAATGCTCATATTTATATAAGTACCTACCACCCACTGTACACATTATGGTTGCAATAAATGATTTGAGTTTGAGTTTGAGTATAAATCTTACCAGTAACGCTAATATGCGATCCAGTCTCGGTCGTTTCGTGCGCGTACAATCCGGACACAGGAACTTCGGCTCCGGACTTGCGAACGGCATCTCTATGCGGCTCGGAGATTCGCTACGTTCTTCTTTAGAGGATGCTATGCACGACGCTGTTTATGGAGAAAAGGAATGTTTATTATTTATTTATTTATTCTTTATGCACAAGTGTACAAAGGCACTTGGAGCAAAAACAAAGAGTTGTTTTATATAGCCAGGTAGGCAAATGACTCTACCCCACCTGATGTTAAGTACAAACGCGAAGATGACCTCCGTAGCTGAGTGGTTTGTACGGCGGGTTTCAAGGTGTCGCCGACTCGAGAGGTCCCGGGTTCGAATCCCGGTGGGGGCAGATGTTCGAATACGTGCATTTGTATTCCAGTCATGGATGTTCAATATGTATTTCTATATAAATATACTTATATATGTACAGTATATATATTCTATCCGTTACCCTAGTATCCCAGAACACAAGCCTTATAGTGCTTAATTTGGGGCTAGGCTAATTGGGTGTGTGTATTGAAAATATTTATTTAATATTTAAATATTTATTTATTTATTATTTATTTATAGCCGGTACAGTAGTTATAAACTACCACACCAACCATCCTCACCTAGCCGGCCTCTGATGTACCAGCTATCTTCGCGTTCGAACTTTATGACCACTTAACATCAGGTGGGGTAGAGTAATTTGCCTACCTGGCTATTTATATATATAATTTTTAATTTTCCACCCACTTAACAAAAAAATATACTTATAGTCAAGTCTATCTATTAATATAATTGTGATATTTACCATGAAACCAGTCCTTGCAGAGTTCACACTGCGTCATTACACCATACTGTCGTTTTTGGCATACGCAGAAAGTAATTCCGGCTGCGGGCGGCGCTCTTACTTCCTTGCGCATATTTCGAGCTCTAAACAACAATACATATCATATAAGTTTTAAGATTAATAGTCTAAGGAGCCGTTCATTAATCACGTGTTTTTTTTGGCATTTTAACCCCTTGGTCATATATGGTGAGGTTAAAGACTACCGCCATACAACGTGTATTTTTAGTACCTACATACAAAGAATCTGTTTATTTTTTTAATATTTATAAAATACAGGTTTAAGTATCATCTAACTTTATTATGGAAAATTAAAGACTACAATAATAACGTTTAGAGGTAAACAGAAATGTTGCAGGTTGTTTTTGCCTGACATAAATATGTATAAGGAATGAAACCGAAAAACTTCTTTGTACTAATACATGAACATTATCTTTGGACCACGTAAATACACGTGATATATTAATTACACACCCCTCCCCCGTTGTGATATTTTATGGACTCCTTCCTCCCCCCTTTCGAGCCTCACGTGATTAATGGACAACCCCTTATTAAAAATATGACCGGTTGGAGCCTTCAGTTAAGCAAATATAGCCTGTGTTTGGAGGCTTAAAGATGATGAGATATCATGAAATCTTTATCGAATGATTTAAATTTATCAATACAAAAATAAAACACCTCTTCCTCCAATTAAAAAATATGCCTAAACGGGTGACAGAAAAATAAACTATGGCCAATTGTGAAGTTGTATTAGGCTTTCAATTTGAATATGTATAGATTGTTATCTACACATATTCTAAGCCTATGCTTGTCTACATAAACAAGCTTAGATTGAGCATTCCCTATCTAACTGCAATGTAAGACAAGCTGAACAGATAGTAAGAGACAAATCGATCGTGCGGCCAATAGTTAGTAATGTTATTGGCTGTTCCATTAAATACCATAGAAAGCGAAGGAGGGAAGCCAAACGAATGAAAATAAGTTTATTCTAATTATAGCAAAAAGACAGATATAGCAATACAATACACAATTCTTTATTGAAAACAGTACAGTAAATAAATGGGGTAAATACATTATGTTTGAACATAGTGATTCAATGGGTCTTATCGCTAAAAGCGGTTTTTTTCCGGACAACCTTTGGATGGAGAGGATTGAAAGAAACTGGAATCGGTGGTGTTATAAAATAAACAAGGTATATAACTATATATATTAAATATATAACATATATTATAACTCGTGTCATTAGAGAAAGGAATCGCAAATGACGACGCAAGACATTCTGTCCCTCTCGCACATGCGGTCCTCAGTAACGTGCGAGAGAAACATAATGTCTTACGTCGGCAGTTTCAATTCCTTTCTTTGATGATTTTGTATGTTTTTTTGTGATTTAATGTGATCAATTAAATGTTTTTTTTCTCTCTCTCTCTCTCTCTGATAATAAGTTATACTTTAGAGATTACCGCTTACCTGAGCTCTTTGATAAGGGCAAGTTCTCTATGCTCGGCCTGCTTGAAAGCGGCCACAATCTCCGTAGGCGTGGAGTCTTCGCTGAAGTTGCGCAGAAACAGCCCGGCTTCTAGCGACGAGGGCGCGGGATCGGTGCTCGGCCGAGGCTTACGGCGTGGCGTTGATGGGCACTCGGTACGTGGGGACAGAGCTTCGAGTAGAGAATACGCCCAGTTCTGTACGGGATGAAAGGTATATATTTCCAACACTGCCAGCAATTAGCCTTGCCCCAAAGTAAGCACTGTAAGGCTTGTGTTATGGGATACTAGGATAACGGATAGAATACATATACAGTACATATATAAGTATATTTATATAGAAATTCATATTAAACATCCATGACTGGAGTACAAATGCTCGTATTCATCACACAAACATCTGCCCCTACCGGGATTCGAACCCGGGACCTCTCGAGTCGGCGACACCTTGAAACCCGGCGTACAAACCACTCGGCCACGGAGGACGTCGTCAGGTGGGTGGTTTGTTTAAAACATTACATAAAATACATTTACAAGTAAGTGTTGATCTTTACTTGAGTACAGTAAGAAAGGGATGTCGGTATATGCTATATACAACATAAACCCTTTCTGACGATGCTCAAGACTAGAATAATTACTGAGAATCTTTCTAAATACGGGACTTAATGTAGTAGAAATTTGAGAAAATATTTGAAATAAAGAAACGAAAGAAAGTAATGTAGTTTGAGAGTAAAACATTAATTGAAGAATAAAACAATACACGCACAATTATTTTGTCTCAGATCGGTCCTAACTCAAAAATTATGCTGATGATGATGTTACCATTTTGTTGAATTAACAAATACAAAATTTAAGAGCTGCAGGTGATCGTTTGCATGTTTGTATGTTTGTTATTCAGTCACGCAAAAACTACTGAATGGATTTCGATGAAATTTGATAGACAAAGAATTCATGACCTGAATTTAGAAAGGATAAAAAACAGGCAGGAGAAGCTGATCTAAAATTACATAAATCGCCTCACCTGTTTAAGAAACATCTCAGCGGCCCCTCGTTTCCACTCTTTCGCTGATAACAAAGCGCTGGCCAGTTGGTCCTTCTCGTACAAAAGTAGAGGTATTTGTTGACCTTTCTTCACTAGAGCCTCCACGCTGTGCATGTACGGGTAGAGGTCTTTGGACTGCATCTCTTCGACCTGTAGAATAAACTCAGGTTTTAGTCTTTTGTCAATTCAATTCAATTCAAAAGTCATTTTTTAAGTAAAACTAGTTTTAACGGATTAATACACAAAATTTATTTATTTATTGACGTTTCGCAGCCTTTTCAGGTCTTCATCGTCAGAATAATGTTTTTTTATTTACTTTGTCGAGCTACCTTCGAAAGACTTTAATCTATATACATATATAAAACTCAAAGGTGACTGACTGACATAGTGATCTATCAACGCACAGCCCAAACCATTGGACGGATCGGGCTGAAATTTGGCATGCTGGTAGATGTTATGACGTAGGCATCCGCTAAGAAAGGATTTTGATCAATTCTACCCCGAAGCGAAGCGAGAGCGGGCCACTAGTAAAAAACATAACAGATTGGAGCCAGTCTTTCGAAGGTAGCTCAACAAAGTAAATAAAAAATCATTATTCTGACGATGCAGACCTGAAAAGGCTGCGAAACGTCAATAAATAAATAAAGTTCGTACATTCATCCGTTAAAACTTGTTTTATTTAATGAATGATGTGCGTGAAAACCTAAGAAACAAATATGTCATTTATTAAGTTTTGGCTTCAGAAAGGCTTAGGAAACGGCGGGTCCGCTTTCGAGTCTGTCCGGCTGAGCTGTATTGTTATCCTTTTCTTGATAACAAAATGGCGATAAGCACATGGGAAAGACGAAAACTACGTTACCGGTTCGCAAAATTACGGCGGGAGACCTTCAACTGAGAAGAACCGGCAAGAAACTCAGCAAGGGCTGCTTTTTGTCTCCCTGCTTTATTTCATACAGGGTCGTCAAATTGAAAGTTGATTTCAAACTGCCAAATATGTGTTGAGGTCAACTTCCGATTATTAATGACCTCAGTGCTGGGATGAAGATCTTTTCTGTGGATGGAATATCCAAAATGGGCCATAATGTGTCCATCACGCAGATTGGAGAATGTTAACAATAGCAGATGAAGTTAATACGAAAAGTTGAATGTGGCTTTTGGATTTTTTAAATACACTTGCTATTTTAGATAACACGTCACACCAACTAAACAAAGTAACCGACAGATTAGTGGTTAGGTGGTAGGTAAATATTTGAATTTCCCACGGGTTTTTCACACTTTAGTTAATTAATTTACAGCTCAAAAATATTGAATGAGGGACACCACAAAAGTAACAAATTAAGAAGAAAAAATTAGGCTTCTTTGCAATTAATGGCATGCATGTTCCCTATTCGAATTCCTAAGACCAAAGCGAGGTGAAAACCACTTTTTCCCATATTCAAACAACGGTTCCATTGTAATTATCTATCTTTATATATATAATTCTTCTGTGAGTGTGTATGTCACTGAACTTCTCTTAAACGACTGGACCGATTTTGATGAAATTTTTTGTGTGTGTTCAAGGGGATCTGAGAATGGTTTAGATTCACAATTTTGTCCGCTGGACAACCCCTATTTTTTAGGGCGGTACGAAGTTCGCTGGGTCAGCTAGTATATATATAAGAATCAATTGCTGTTCGTTAGTCTCGCTAAAACTCGAGAACGGATGAACGGCTTTACCTTATCTTGGTCTTGAAATGTTCGTGGAGGTACAGGGAAGGTTTAAAAGGTGAGAAAAATTCGAATAATTGCGAGGAATATAGTAAAAATACAATTTCATTTGTCCATATAAATCAAATTATTGTAAGCAGTAAAAAGTGCGCTGGGTCAACTAGTAATGATATAAATTATATTGAGGACATTGTAGGGTTTTATAATTACCTTGGCCAACCAATCGGTGGCATGATGACGGGCAGTAGACAAAGCGTGCTGTGAAGGCAGTGCCGCTTCAATGTCATCAGCTGCGGCCAATAAAGCATCCACTTCTGCCAATGTGGTGTAAGGCGGTTCCAACTCGGTACGAGGGTCACGGGTTTTATTCGTGTCTATGAGGACTGCACGTGCTTTGCTCTCCCATTCTTCCACTTGGGCTGGTGGGAAAAATAAATAGCGATTTTAGGAGTAAGAAGCTAAAAATCTATAACAAAAAATTTACTGGTGCTGATCACACTAATATTATAAAGGCGAAAGTTTGTGAGTGTGTATGTTCGTTACTTCTTCACGTCCAAAAGGCTGGAGCGATTTCAATAAAAATTGGTATGGAGTTAGCTGATACCCTGGATTAACACATAGGCTACGTTTAACTGCGGTAAAATATCACAGTTAGTAAACAATAAAGAAACCAGACAAGTGTAAGTCGGAATCGCCCACCGAGAGATCCGTACAAATTTTTAGATACGTATCTTTTTTCTTTTTTTGCGTTTTATTAGAAGTTTGATTTTTTTACAGCTTCATGGAATAATAATTATAATAATTGAGGAGCTCGATGGCGCAGGTGGTTAGCGCATTCGGCTACGATGGTTAAAGTTAAGCAGTTTCGCAGTGGTCGGTCATTGGATGGGTGACCAAAAATATCTATCTCGAATTCCTTCGTGCTTCGGAAGGCACGTTAAGCCGTTGGTCCCGGCTGCATCTGCAGTCGTTAGCACCCGCCAATCCGCACTGGGCCCGCGTGGTGGGTCATGGCCCAATCGTCCTATTCCATCCATAGGGAAGGCCTGTGCCCCAGCAGTGGGGACATTAATATGCTGATGATGATGATGAAACGATAAATTTGAGTTTGTGGTTTAAATTTAATCTCAATACTTGTACGCGTTCCCGTGATAAAGGTCCTTGACCTTATATTATAACAAAAAGGGATGATACGGTTCGCTCATACTAGCATCAAATAAAATATGATCCGACTCAACTACATAAGCAACTCTCACGCACGCACACGTCTGTATATAAACATTCAATCGAGCGAGCGAGACAGAACTGTACGCTTCTACGCAGCTCGAGCGAAACGGCGAGTCCACTTTCGAGTCCGTACGTTGTCCTTTTCTTGATAACAAAATGACGAGTAGGTAAATAACATTCACGACAAACCGTGCTTTTGAGAAAAAATGTTTTTATACAATTTTACGAATGAAATGTGTTGCCCAGTTATTTGATTTTGAACTATTTGTGTTCTTTATAAAAGCATCGAAGGCATTTTTTTATCTTTATAATACAGAATATACGCAATATTGTTATATTGAGTGCACATGCAGCGTGTTTGAATGTCCAATTGTGACTAAAGCGAATTGTGGTCATGCACCACGATTTAAGCGGATCACTTATGATCAAGATTGTATAATAAACAAGTCTATTAATTTTCATTCCTTTTAGAGCATGGAAAGGGCAACCTGCTGACAAAATGACAAATAACAAACATAAATATTAATGTGAAGCGCCGGCATGACATTAAGGCATCTTTTTCCAGTCGGCATATTTCGCTAACTTTTTTGACATTAACAGTGTATAACTAAAGAAAAAATTGCAATTGAGTTGGAAATCTTATATATAAAATTCTCGTGTCGCGGTGTTTGTGGTTAAACTCCTCAGAAACGGCTTTCCAGATTCTCATGAAATTTTGTGTGCATATTGGGTAGGCCTGAGAATCGGACAACATCTATTTTATATCCTCCTAAATGTTAAGGGTAATCCAACCCTAAATTTTTTTTTTCAATTTTAGATATTTTTATTTTTATTTTTTTATGATACATCATACACAAATACATACAACCCTGAATTTTCACCCTTCTACCACCGACCCCATTTTTTTATGGCGGTACGAAGTTCGCTGGGACAGCTAGTATTTATATATATTTCTATACAAAAATTAAAATGACTCACCTTTGAGTTTACACAACAGCGCCCTCTCCGTTTCCACTCTATAATGAGGTACAACCGTGGTCGCGTCTTCCAGTAATCTATCAATAACTTCCGGTGTTAAGGTGGAACAATCCTCCCGGTACGTTCTGACTTCTTCTAAGAACTTGACTTGCTGCTGGCGAGCTTGCAACGGCGCTAATTGAGGCAAAACTATGCATAGTTGCGAGCCTAATTCGACCACCTGGTGAATACGGGTGAATTGGTTAATTTCAAATTGAAAATAAATTCGAACAAAGAATAAGGAGACTTTATTTGTCGTGTATGTATTTTATTTATTAATTTATTACTAACGAGTAACCTTTGCGAGATATATACAGGTTGTTGCAAAAATACAAATAAAGCTTGAAGGGCGTTGAAGTACATCATATAAGGAGTCTTCTCTAATTTTCTTCAAATATTTGCATGAAGTTTTAACTTTTTTATAACAACACGATTTTGTTCGTGTTGTTGTATTTAGGGTATTAATATCGTTGGAAAATTGCTGTGCAAGTCTGTGTAACGATAGCGTCATCTAGTCACTCTAAGTGAATCTAAGAAATGGCTTAAAAACTTCGCATAATGTGTTAAGGTTTCGACATTTGGAAACTAGATGGCGTTGCCGACAATGTATATATAGATATGCAGAAAAAATAGGTATAAAACACTTTTTATTGGCTTCCGAGATGTAAACAACTTCATTTGGGCACCCATTTTAACACTGAGTTCTAATAAATAATTACAAAAACCAGCCTCTAAGCAGAAATATACGTATAAAAGCACGTTGATGATTACCTCGTCAATATCTCTAAGTATGGCCCTATACAGATAAATTGGTTGGACATTTTTTTTCCTTTTAGTTTATTAAGCGCCATAAGTATATATATATATATTTGTTATTGTATCGAACCTAATAAAGCACATAAATAATAATGATAAGATGATAAGTTATAAGCACGTAGCTGGTTACCTCGTCAATATCTCTAAGTATGGCCGCATCAGTCTTGTCCAAGTCGCGGTTCAACAGTTCCGTCGCGCGGGTCTCAAACTCCGACGTCTGTCTCAACACTTCTTTAACCGCTGAACCTATGAATGAAAATAAAAAAAAAGAACAAAAATATGAAGTCTTTTAAAAGATAATGTTTGAAAGGCTTTTGAGAGAAGATAAAATTACAACTCATGAAAATAAATATAGCAAATTGAACACAGTGTGAGTTACAGGCATTCCCACGCAGTTTCGAGCAGAAATTCAATTTAAGAGCCCTTTTACAAAATTGCGCCGCTGCCGTACTGATCAGCGCGTAGGTAGATTTGTACTAGCAATTAGTAATTTAATCTAATTTATTGAACATTATTTAGAGATTCGGGCGTTTGAAGTTGTGCGTATTATCGCTTTTGCGTAAACTAGCTGCGGTAGAACGATTAGTACAAAAAAAGGAAAATAGTATTTGCAAATATTCTAATTAATTTACAATAGGAAGAATAAATCTACTGTTTACTTTTATTGAAAATAGTCAAAATCTTTTCTAAGGGGGAAAACGAGGGGGAAGAAAATCACGATATTTTGCAAAATATGTGAAAGGGCTCTTAAAAATAAAATTGTATGTTTTGGTGATTATTTGCGAGGCGGGGACCATTTTTATGACTACTTTTTATTAATTGTATAGAATTATGTCCTTTATTTTGTATAAATACTATGTATAATGTATTGATTAAGCCCTAATTCATTACCTATATAGTACTTGGAGTTGTGCTGGGTGCTTCTCATCTTGTTCTTTTCTTACCCATCCGTACTAATATTATCAATGCGAAAGTGTGTCTGTCTGTTAACGCTTTACACTCAAACCACTGAACCGAATTAGATATGAGTCTCGAGTTTGACATATGATAGTTCTTTTTCCAGAAATTATCCAAAAAGAGGGTGTTACGGGAGATCAAATTTTCCACGCAAACGAAGTCGCGGGCACCCCACTAGTTTACTAATAAGACTCGCCAATAGTCCCACTAATATTATAAATGTGAAAGTTTGTATGTTTCCTGCTCAATCAAGCAAAAACCAATTAACGGATTTGGATGAAATTCTTTGCGCATACAGTTTATGACCTGGATTGAGACAGGATACTATTGATCTTGATCTTAATTAGGTTCCTGTGGGATTCTTAAAAAAACTGAAGTTAACGCGGACGAAGTCAACGCTAGTTAACAGTAAAGGACATAGGTACTTTTTACCCCAGAAATCATCTCTTTAGGGGGTGAAAAGGGGGGTGTGGAGGTCTGCCCCCCTAGCATGAGTACAGCGATATGATATATAGCAGGGTTTTATCACGCTCAATTGTTAAATTACTATGGATTTTAACAGTTCGACACGATAAAAAACGTGATTAAATGTAAAATGAAGTGCTCATGCTACAGGTATGGGAAATCACGGGTAGTAAACGATTTTTTTAATGACATATTTGACAATGGAATAATCTTAACTTTTTTAAATTAGGGATGAGTGAGAGTATTATAAACGTAAGAGTAAACAAATATAATCAGAATGCTCCGAACTGCTAAGCTATCAGGAGTCACACGTGTTATTGTGAGTCAACCATAAAAGATAGACATATGCTGTTGCGATATAATTTTTAGACAATTTTATGTAGAATATTTCCCTCATACATGATTTCTATGTGAGTTTAACCATTAAGGCTGCACACGCGACGGAAGCTTAAAAAATGGAGTAACTTCTCCCGTTTTCCCAACATTTCCCTTCACTACTCTGCTCCTTTTGATTGTAGCGTGATGAAAAGTATACTATAACCTGCCCAGGAGTATGAAGAATAATTGTACCAAGTTTCGTTAAAATCCATTGAGTAGTTTTTGTTTCTATAAGGAACATACATACAGACAGACAAAAATTTTACTGATTGCATTTTTGGCATAAGTATCGATCACTGATCAGCCCCTGATAGTTATTTTGAAAATATATTTCATGTACAGAATTGACCTCTCTACTGATTTATTATAAGTATAGATTACATAGTTTATTTTGTTGAAATTAATAAACATGTTTGAAGTTTCTGTATAGATACAATTAAAAAAAATCTTAATGGAATTATTCGTTTTACATATTATATTGGTTTTTATAATTGAATAGTAAAGACCCTTAATTTAACTATTTGTCTTTTGTATAACTTGCATGCCATTTATGGTAAAATATGTAGAATCTGTTTTGTATTATACAAGTCACATCTCATTGTACCATATTTTTAGCAATAAAGAAATCTAATCTAATCTTAATGAATAAGTTACCTTCAGGCAATACGCAGGCGAGTCCGTCTATTTCAGCGGCGAACAGCGTCAACTCATGTATAGTGAGGCGGTACTTGGGGTCGTGCTGGCGGGTTCGGGTTCGCATCTTGTTGAGGTCCAACTGCTGGATGACGCTGGCGCACTTCTCGGCATCTTCTATGGCTATTTCTAGAGCTCGCACTAGCTCCGTTTTGTGCATCTGGATGGGGAATTACAAAATAAATTTAGGTTAGAAATTATCTGTGTCATTTACACATAAATTAATGGCCCTGTCGAACTTTAATCATCACACAAGTAAAGGGGCTTTCTGGTATTCAAATGACGACCTCCGTGGCCGAGAGGTATGTACTACGGTTTTCAAGATGTCACCTACTCAGAGGTCCCGGTTTCCAATCCCGGTGGGGCAAGTGTTAGTGAGATGAATACGAGCATTTGTATCTAACCCATTGATGTTATATGTATTTCCGACATTTACAATAGCATTTCCGCCGATAATTAATACTGTACAGCCGAAACGGGCAGCTGTTTCGAACTTAGACATAACTTGTAACACCATTGTACTCAGCATGACAATAAAGCTTTCTATTTCTATATTCATCTCACAAGAAAATGGCCTTTATGGGATTTAAATCTAGGCGCCTATGAAACAGAAAACCGCCGTTGCCGTAGATGTATCACCAAAAGGTCATCGAAAATGCGGTTATATTACAGACAGGTTTAACAAATCAAGCGTTTTTATTTATTAATTTATGATAAAGTACAAACACTCACATGATATAAAAATCAATTAAATAAGTTGATTTTGTAGTATATATTTTTGAACATAACATAAGCGAAAATAATTATGTGAAGTACTAAACTTCGAAATTATACATACCCACATAAATATTACAAGTTATTATCTTAAGCTACCAGGTACGAGAAACTGGAATATTAAAATTAACAGGGCAATTTACAGGTTTTCCAGACAAAACCAAGTTATGAGGTTATAAGAAGGCTTATAACGACGATATTCAATAATCATCATCATCAGTCTATTAATGTCCCCACTGCTGGGGCACAGGCCTTCCCTCTGGATGGAAAAGGTATTGCAGGTCATGTGACCCACCTAGCGGGCCCAGTGCGGATTGGTGGGTGCTAACGACTGCAGATGCAGCCGGGACCAACGGCTTAACGTGCCTTCCGAAGCACGGAGGAACTCGAGATAGAAGATTTTTGGTCACCCATCCAATAACCGACCAATGCGAAAGTTGCTTAACTTCAACGATAAATTTACCTTCAAATCGTGCGCTCTTCGCAGATTAGCCCGCAATCCGTCCAAGTCGCAAGTCTTCGGCGTGTCGGGATCCAAAGCATTCTGCACCGCCTCCGCCCATTCGCGGAACAATTCAGATTTCTTCTTGAGCTTCTCCAACATCGCGGGCAACTCGTCTAGGGTGTAACGGTATCTGTGGAAAACGGTAATGTTAATGTGCGACCAACATTATTTTTTATTCTATTATGTGACATATTTTTAATTAATTTGATAAAAAACTTATGTAAAGGACATTGGGCAAAAATGTATGGACGCTGCACCCACGTCCGCCACGGCCTAAACTACATTTGTTTGAAAGGTATTATAGTCATGATCATCTGTGCCATAGCGCATCAAATTCCATCCCGGGGGTCTTTAGTTATTTTAAGTTAAATATGTACAAGTATTATAACGAACGAACATTAATGAAACAAGGGAATGAGTTTAGTTAGTTAGATCGACCCTACAAGGTGCTCAGGAATTATGGGAGTACTTCACAAGGTGCAAGGGTGCCCCCTTATGTTATTCTGTCGCGCTAGAGTAAATCCAAAAATCCCCGCTTGGGTTGAGTTTTTTTAAACATTCTGGTCGTTATAGTAAATTGTCTTTTATGTAAAACGGAGCGACCACAGATTACACAAACTTGTCTACGCTTCGGAGAACACATGATTCCAGTTCATCCATAGTAATTGACAAAACCGATAATCGTGTTCTAATATCCAAAGCGTGTTAGATAAAAATCAATCAAGTAGCAGGGAGCGCACAATCACAACGAAGTAAGACGAGTTGACTATTTGCAAATGCAAGTCCTTCAGCATCCGTAAACCGTTTTGAAATGTCTCAGTAAGAGCAAGCGCAGGATGGTCGACAGGCTTGTGTTTTATATCTAATAATACAAAATGAATTTATTCAGCTACTTAAATATGCCCATGTGTCATATCTATTGACTACCAGGATATTTTTTACGGTGTCATATCTTTTGACTCTCAGGATATTTATTTTCGGTGTCATAATAAAAAAGGCTAGTTTTTCATAGATCTATCGATTCATACTAATTACATTGTTGGCGGGGCTGGGTGAGTTTTGCCCATTGTCCTTTGCATGCTACGGTCTATAGCTGAATAGGTAAAACCTACATAGTATGATTATGCGTTGTTAAAATTCTTTACACAAAGTTGACGTCACACAGTAGACGTCATCGAGCGTTTTGGCGGTGTATTCAAAAGCAAGAAAAATAAATTCAACTTTAATTGGTTTAATGGAGAAAAAAAAATGGTTGCCTGTAAAGTCGGTTTTACGGGCGAAGATTTTACGTGACAACGTCTTTTTCTCGGTAGAATATTTATTGATATGAATATAATTAAATTGCACAATAGGAACAAGGAATTGAATGAAAATAAGAATTGCACAAATTTTAACTATAGAAATATATTTTGTTTACTAAAACATTGTACATGTAAACTTAAACTTAACACGAGAGACTCATCGTAACGTTACCGAGCGTTACACTTTTTCATAAGTGACTCCCAGCCGCAACCTAATTTAAGACGTTGTCACGTCAAAAAGACATGGTGACGATTCTGGCGTGATTCTCTAAACTCAAAACTAAATTTAATATCAGTCTCTCCTTTTCATTCTGTATAGAGAATGACAGGGATGCACTGTTGTCAAATTTAAGTTCAGATTTAGAGAATCATGCCAGAATTGACATCATTAATTAATTTATTTTTAATTTTCTGTTAAACCGTTTGGCCCAATCTTTAAATATGAGCAGTTTTCAAAAATTTGGAAAATACCCTATTCCACGCGGACCTGGCAACAGACAGGACTACTCGAAATTGTCTCGAATCTCGAACGTTTCTGTTAATGTATTTACCTCAGTTTATGCACCCTCGGGTCGCAGTCGCACAGCTGCGCGTAGTGCCTCAAGCAGGCCACGTGGGATGTGCAGGAACACGTGACACAGGACAGGAAGCAAGTGGTCTTGCACAGTTGGCATTGCCGCTCGTCGTCGGGGAGGAGTTCAAATGCCTCTCTTTCCGCTTCCGTCACACCCTGGTTGGGACAAGTTAATAAATAATAAATATTTCCAACACACACAGCAATTAGCCTAACCTCAAAGTAAGCACTGTAAGGCTTGTGTTATGGGATACTACGGTAACGGACATAATACATATATATATTGTATGTACATAAGTATATTTATATAGAAATAAATATTAAACATCCATGACTGGCGTACAAATGCTCGCATTCATCACACAAACATCTGCCCCACCGGGATTCGAACCCGGGACCTCTCGAGTAGGCGATAAATTGAAACACGGCGTACAAACCACTCGGTCAAGGTCGTCAAAGGCACAAGTTACAAGATTAGGTATATTTATCAACCCTTTTAGACCGATACGTAAAAATCGGGCGAATGATGCTGACGGCATTTCAGAAAAGCTTAGCTTTCATCCCCTGTAAGTCTGTGATATGTCATAAAAGTCGTGCAAAGTGCACAGTTGATGCCAATAGCATTACAGAAAATATAATTATATAAACATATATGTATGCATAGTTTTCGTCCAATTTAAGACCTTGTGTCGGTAAATGGAGTTATATACCTAATAATTCGTTTATGAATGGAGCTAATCTAAAAGATCAAATCTTATTACTTCTTTTTGTATATTTGATCAGCAGTAAAATTCAGTTATTGTTAGGGGAAGCTAAAGTATGAACATCAGTATCAAACTACGAGAATAAAAGATATTTTGAAAAAACCACGGACATAGTTACTATTTTATTTTAAGCATGTAACTGCTAGATGTTTTAATGTAAAAAAAATTTTGCTTGAAAGAATTCCACGCGGATCAGGCAGCAGACGGGACTCGAATCGCTATCCGGGCGAATGCAGTGACTAGTCTTTTTTAAGCTGCAAGGCAGCGCCATCTCTTCGCATTATAGGTAACCTACAATGTCAAATGAATACCTTTACAAGTATTAAACATTTGAAAGAAGAAATAGCAATTATAATTATCATTCTTTAATTTTTTTAGCATGTTACTGCTAGATGTTCTAATCTAAAAGAAATAGAGTATTTGAGCGTATTAAAAATAAAGTGCTAATTGTTAGCATCTGTATTTAGAATGAATATTGGCAGTAGTTTTTACTATTTTTACAGAAAAAATATTCATAATTTTACTAAAAACCCACGATAAAGACAATAGTTTTCTTGTCTATTGTCACGTGACCCAAAACGCTTGGGATTGGTGGAGCCTAAAATGACGTCACACGCAAGTAAACTTCCGGTTAATGTGACATTTGATTGTATGGTTTGACGTTATAATGACAGTCGTGTGACGTCACACACCAGTGAGGCCATATTGTCCAGATACGTTTTTCGCGGCAACTTTAAAATAGAGTTTTTGATTTTGTTTTTTTACCTAAATACACAACATAATGATGAATTTCTTTTTATGGACTCTATAAACATCAGTAAACAACGTGAGATCGTTTTCTAAAACTTGTCAAATACCCTATTATAATATAGTTACTATTCATAAAAAAACTTTACGATAATTTCAATGTTAAAATGATTATATAAATATAAGAAAAATTGCAAACGACATGCAACGTAAGTGCTGTTGTGATTGGTTGACTCTGTAACATGTTTGATTCTATGACAATATCGTAATACTCTATAATTGTCAATCTTACTCTGCAAGTGAACTTAGATAAACAGCTTCACAGTATATACTCGCCCAATCCAATAGTACTTTCCTAAATTTCCTCTCATCGTGTAAGAGCTCTGCTTCCAAGGTCATAAACCTGAATACCGATTTGTTCTATCCGGTCATAATCACCCTAATTCCAACTATCCTAAACTTTTCTCCTGCTAATTCTTCTCTTACATATACGCGAAAGTTTGTATGGATATGTTGATGTTTGTTACTCTTTCACACTAAAACGGCTAAGCAGATTTGGATGAAATTTAGTACACATACAAAAAAATGTAATGGGCTGTTCAAGTATTACGTAAGCACTATAGGGGGGCAGGGGGGTTTCTGCTTTGCTTATTTTTGATGACTTGGGGGGGGTGGGGGTAAAGATGTTGATTAGGTCAGCATCATCGATTAAGCCTTTTTAAGTACTGCTGGTCATGAAGCTCATGAAAGCTCATGAATCAATAAAAAAACAGAATAAATTTAAGGAAAAATGCATTTAGGTACAATGTTTACGTAAGGATGGGGGGGAGTGGGAGCTTTGCTTACTTTTGCTGACGAAGGGGAGGAGGGGGTAAATAATTATAATAAATCTGCTTACGTAATACTTGAACGGCCCCCAAGCTTCAAATCATATTTTCGAAAAACTAAAGCTAGCGTAGACGAAGTCGCCAGGCCATAATTTTACCCACTATAACTTATCCAATCCAGCAGTCCTTTCCCAAGTTTCCTTTCGAGGCCATTTCCAATGCCATCAACTTGAATACCACAGGACAAATGTACTGTCTTGTATATTATTTAACAATTATATTTACTCTACATATTGTTTAAATTTACTCCGTGATCGCTTGCAACAGTGCCGAAATATCGGAGACTCATAAAAAACAAGGTACATGGTAACAATCCCGTTAATAGCAATAATATATTTACTCACCCAATCCAATAGTCCTTTTCTAAGTTTCCTCTCATCGTGTAACATCGTCCTCATGTCCCTATAAGCCGCCAGAGCTACGGTGACGCTCAAAGAATCCGCTTCTAGAGCCATCTTGCAGACGAGCTCGTCGTGCGAGAACACGCAGTACCGCCGTAATGTGGAGTAGTGGGCGATGCATTCGCGGCCCATTTTCAACTGAGATGAAGGAATATTTTGTTAGAGTTAAAATCAATCAATCAAAATCATTTATTCAGTTTAGGCTGTTACAAGCACATATGAATGTCTAGAAGCTACGCCATCGGTTCGTAAATCTACGGCGGGAGACCTTGTACTGAGAAGAACCGGCAAGAAACTCAGCACGGGCTGTTTTTTTTCTCCCTGTTTTATCATTTACAGAGTCGTCAAGTTGAAAAATGACTTCAGAGATGATTCATGAAGTCACCCTTCATTACATAATGTGAAATTATACATTAATTGTTCACCTGCATTTTGATTGCTGTGTCACACAGTATAAATACAAACAGAGTTATTTATAATAGGTGTAATTAAACATTTACATCTTAAATATCAAAGTAGTTAGGGCAGACTCATCTCCGCTGGCAGCACCCGTTCACGAGCATGACGTATGAACCAGCCATCGCTTCGCTCAACCATATTTTAGGGAACGTAACGACCCGCCTCACACGACACCACCGAAGAGACAACTTCGATTAACAATTCTATAGATAACGGGATGCAAACAAATAGGGATGAAACGATACGAGTAAATACAAGTAACTACTCGATACTTTTCTTTCGATACCAAGTACTTTTGGCATCGATACCTTAGAACTGAGTAACAAGTAGTATCGTGAAGTAAAGTACTTGTATCGGTACTCGGTCGGTCACTCACTGAGAAGTATCAAAACCCCCATAGGCAGATTGTTTACTCTATGGTAATGTGTCTAGTTGGAATTTTTATATCTCGAAAGCATCTTTCCTACTGCTCAGTTGACAGCCTTGCGTATGATTTATATTTATTCCAATTTTTCAGTCAGTTATTCGTTCATCGCGTGGCATGAGCCGTTATTTTGTTTTCGTCAAATGAAAACTGTGACTGAATTTGTAATTGTAATTTCGTTCGTCAAAAATTTATCGATACAAGTAAGTATCGATACTGAGTAGGCATCGATACTTCATGACCGATACAGTATCGAGTAAAAGTATCGATACCTAGATGGTATCGTTTCATCCCTACATACAAAATTGTAGGAAGGCCAAAGGGGAAGATCTTCCTCCGAGCTGGGTGATGGTAGCTCGGGGGCCGCGGCCCGACTGATGTTGGTCGGGCATTGTGTATATGCAATGTTGGCATCTGAATTTCACTTGCGCGATGTAGGCTTCCATACTATTGTGATCGTAGCGTAGGTAGCGCCACCTCTTGAGGAGGCGAGTGATTATTTTCTCCATGTTAGTTATATGTGGGGCATATAGATGTCGCCGCCACAAAATCAAAGCTAAAACTGTCCGCGTATGTATATACTAATGCAGCGACATTCGATTCCCAATGAACAAAGACAATTTTTTTAAAACAGTTTAAGTTGAACCTAATAACAACCATGTCACAAATGAATAAAGTTACAATTAACAAAATTTTATTCCGTACATACGACATTTTATCTTTTAAACGACAAGACAGTAAATTATTTCTGATATTGGAAAAAAAACCTTGGTAAAGCTTAACAGCTTAAGAAGCTACAAGGCAGCGCCATCTCTTCGCATTGTAGGTAACCCACAATGTCAAATGAATACCTTTACAAATATTAAACATTTGAAAGAAGAAATAGCAATTATATATGTAGTTAAATATTTTTATTTATTTTTAACGATATAACTGTTTGATATTTAAATCCAAAGAAAATATTACTAGAAAAAATTCACACACAATATCATTATTTGACATTATGATATCTTACCCAATCGGCAGGCGTAAAGTTGACCGCTTCAGCAAAGTTGTATCCCTGGTTGAATCCGGCGTGGTAAGCTCGCGGGAATGTTATCACGAATTCGCCTGCGTGCTGATCCGTTCTGTATGAGAGACGATTAAAAAACAACATTTTAGTTGATCACCCAGCAATCCGCAATGGGGCCATGTAGCCATTTCAAGTATAGATATCAGCTAATCAAGGTGACTGTTGTTAAACACCCATTATCATTATCAGCCTATTAATGTGCCCACTGCTGGGGCACAGGCCTTCCCTATGGATGGAATAGGGAGATTGGGCCATGACCCACCACGCGGGCCCAGTGCGGATTGGTGGGTGCTAACGGCTGCAGATGCAGCCGGGACCAACGGCTTAACGTGCCTTACGAAGCACGGAGGAGCTCGAGATAGTAAATCTTTGGTCACCCATCCAATGACCGACCACTGCGACAGTTGCTTAACTTCAACGATCGCAGCCGAACGCGCTAACCACTTGCGCCATCGAGCTCCTCACACCACCCATTATCACACAGTAATCTGCACTGGGACCCATGTAGTTTGATGCAGGTATTATAAGAATAGATATCGGAAGTCAGTGGAAGAAAGTAATATTTGGATTGGAGGCAAGATGTTGGAATATGGTATGATAAACCTTGTGTTTAAATTGTAGAGGAACAGTCAGTTATCTTAACTGCCGTTTATCGTATGCATTATTATCGTCTGATTCCACTAGCTATATAAATACGTCTACATATGTATATCTTAATTTCAAACTCGAAAAACTGTCTAAATATAGGTAATCATTCGTCATCATTATCATTTGCTAAATCATTTTTGGAAATCCTTGCCATATTTCTATGTCATAATGTTCAGAAAGGTAATAGTTTAAATCAATATGGGCATGGAGAAAACAAAAGTTCTGCGATCGTTGAAGTTAAGCAACTTTCGCACTGGTCGGTCGTTGGATGGGTGACCGAAAATCTTCTATCTCGAGTTCCTCCGTGCTTCGGAAGGCACGTTAAGCCGTTGGTCTCGGCTGCATTTGCAGTCGTTAGCACCCGCCAATCCGCACTGGGCCCGCGTGGTGGGTCATGGCCCGCACTCCCTATTCCATTCACAGGGAAGGCCTGTACCTAAGCAGTGGGGACATTAATAGGCTGATGATGATGATACGCTAGTTTGCCACCCTTCTATCTGTATACATAAAACTCAACGGTGACTGACTGACATAGTGATCTATCAACGCACAGCCCAAACCACTGGACGGATCGGGCTGAAATTTGGCATGCAGGTAGATGTTATGACGTAGGCATCCGCTAAGAAAGGATTTTGATCAATTCTACCCCCAAGGGGATAAAATAGGGAATGAAAGTTTATATGAAACTTTGTCAATTTGAAACCGGTCTGTCTGAGACTTTGCATGCAGGTATAAGAAGAATCATAGATGAATGTCATTGTGTATAATACAAGCTGAGAACAAAAACTGTGGTCTACACTTTAGCTCTACACTGAGGGCGGGCCGCTAGTGTGACCTGACCTGTAGACGGGCACGCCGGCCTTCATGAGCACGTTGGGGTTGAGGATGGTGACCAGCTGGTGCAGCAGGTCGGGCTGCAGCTGGAACAGCTCGGGGGCTTCGGCCTTCATCGCCGCTTCGAACTGTTCCGCTTTAGAACTCGGGACACCGTACCTGCATGTAAAACGTTTAAAATTGTAGACTAAATACTTAGATGTACCCCAAGTACGAACTTTAAACAGATTCTGATCTGTACCCTTAGTACGAACAAGTATCGAATTCGAATAGTTTGCATACCGAAATGTCAATGTCAAATTTTTATGGAAATTTGAACAGCAGTGGCACAAAACACGTAACGAGAACTAAAAATCAGTACACATTTGACAATGACATTTCGAACTCGCAAACGATACGAATTCGATATTCGTTCGTGCTAGAGGTACTGTACCCTTAGCACGAACAAGTATCGAATTCGAATAGTTTGCAAGTGCGAAATGTCACTATCGAACATCAATCAAAATCTGATAAATAAAAATATGTCATTATCGAAATGTCATTTGACGACCTCCGTGGCCGAGTGGTTTGTACGCCGGGTTTCATGGTGTCGCCGGCTCGAGAGGTCCCGGGTTCGAATCCCGGGACCTCTCGAGGACCCGAATCAGATGTTTGTGTGATGAACACGAGCATTTTTGTACTCCAGTCATGGATGTTTAACATGTATTTCTATATAAATATACTTATATATGTACTATATATGTATTCTATCCGTTATTATTTAACCTCTTAAAAACTCTATAAAAAACATACTACTGTTCACAATAACTTTGTTTTTAAAACCTAACGTTTTGTTGACCTAACTAAACTTATGTAATGTTTTATAGTCATATAAGTAATTAACGGGACTGCTACCATGTACCTTGATTTTAGCGAGCAAGCGCCGTATTAGTATGTGTAAAACCGGAAATAATCAAAAAATGTCGTGTCGCGATCCGGTACTGTAAGTGTTGTGTTACGAGATCAGTTTCGAGTGCATAGTGAGAATGTGAACAGTGGTACGGGTATCGAACGCAATAAAAGACTTCGTCGGAGGGTAGACCGATATGTCTGCCAATAACAGCCTACCCGCAATTACTTCAGTTACTCCGTGATCATGGCGCTTGCCACAGTGCCGAAATATCGGAAACTCGCAAAAAACAAGGTACATGGTAACAATCTCGTTAATAACTTATATTACTATAATAATCTTACTAATCCAGCACTATTAAAAACTGGAGGGTACCGGATTATTGGAATGTTCCGATAACTGGATTATAGTGAAAAAGTCGTAGGTAAATAAATGATTGATTTGATTTTGATACTTTTATTATTGATAATAAAGAAAGCTTCATTGGATCTACATAAAGTTTAGAGTTCAAATTTACATGTATTATCAAGTGTATCCGATATTGTGAAAATATGAAAGGTCACTCACCATGTCTTCGGTTCTCCCCAGTGCAGATAGTTGATGGAGTAACTCCAGTGATCTTCGTTGTGCCAACAGAAAGTCGCGAAGCACATGCCCACGTACAACCACGGGATCTACGGGCAAACGAGCGTAGTATAGTATTTGACAAATTTTAGGAAACAATCTCACGTTATGTGACGTATTAAAAACGTCATATGAACTTTGTTTTGTTTGAAGAGAGAGATAGAAAGTTTTTGTTTTGGTTGTGTCACTCTTTTCTCTTTACCATAGATCGTTTACGCTTGTCCATGCGTTTTTTATTTACTGTGGCTTGACAAGGCTGTATGGTCATTGTTTCCCTTGCCTTCCCAGAAAAGAGAAAACTTAAAAAAAAGCAATACAAATTTTTACTTGGATGTTTATGGAGTTCATAAAAAGTAGGTATTCATCATCCTGTGGTGTATTTTAGTAAAAAAACACTAAATCAAATGATACATGTGTGCAGGATTTAAAGATATATTATGTCATTGTTTATGTGTGAGTATCGTAGTTACAGTTTTGTTTTATATGCGTGTACGTTAAACTGCATTCGTGTGCATATTCCCCCCGCAATAAATGACAGAATGATTTGAAGAATATTATGTCGCTATGGCTACTCCCTTCCATGTTGCTCAATGAACTGGCGTCAAATAAGAATTGAACCGAAAATAAGAAGCAAAATATTCTGTCCTTCTCGTACCTCAGAGAATAAGTTATGAGACTTCTATGAGTTTCGTGTCATCTTTTTTTATTCGAATCTTTGTTGACTCAAATGAAGGTTTTCTGGCATGAAGGCGCCAGGTGGCAGCACTGAGACGAAAGTTCTACTTATTTCTGATAGTCTATGGATCATTATCATCACAAAAGACCTTATGTCACTTTTTTGGTGTGGACCACAATCGCGTTTTACGATCAAAATACGATAATGTGTTATAGATACCTCTCACCCGCTCTGAGTATTATATGGACAACTTTACGATTAAAGCTGCACAACTTTGTCACGCTAATTCAATTGATTTGTTATTAAATATTCTTCATGATTTTCTCCTACTTATATCCTAGTCGTTTAGCTATCCTTTAACGCAAAGGTTTTTTGGAAGAGATCGCTTAAAGCGATAAGGCCGCCTTTGCCCACATTATGTTATTGTTTACTTTTTTTGTATTCTTTTGTGTGTGTGTGCAATAAAGAATTTATCTATGTATCTATGTCACAGTGGCGGTAACTGGTGTAAATTTTCCTAAACACCCTAATTATAATAGGGGTGATGACGGGGTATAGTAAACGAAATTCTATTTAGGCCGTCAGTTAGATGATCAAAAAATAATGGACACGTATTTTTTCTTTGGGCAATCAACCAAAAAATTACAAAGTTATAGCGCATCAAAGTTCGGGAGTAAGGGCTCGTGACTTCACTTTTAAGTGAAAATTGTACTAAAACGTGACGACATGCGACTTTTCAAATCAATTTAACTCTGCAATGTTTATATTATGTGAAAAAATAAAAAATACGTGTCCAATACTTTTTGATAATCTACCTGACAAAAGAAGAAAAAAAAATAGTCATCATCCCTATTGAATACAGAAAATAATTGTTTTTTTTTAACAACTATTATCTAAAGCAGAGACTCACCTTCATGCCGGATATGTCTGCATTGATATGGCCCAGGACGGACCCCTCCAGTACGGGCAAGTTGTTGAGGTTCCAACTGGATTCCGCATACTGTTGTTCGCCCGGATATAAGTGGGCGCTACTTTTAGTAGGGAACCCTGACGGTAGAAACAAAGAGAAGTTAAACACTGCTAAACCAAATACGTATGTAGTAAAAATCACTTATGCTGGCACTTGGCTATTTGTTAAAACTTGACAATGGTCTTTCCTTGTGTGGAATAAGGAATGAAAAGGACAGACTGATGTCAAGTTAACAAATAGCAAATACGAATAGCCAAGGAAAGTGCCCGAATAATAATAAAATTTAACTTCAGGTCTGTTTTCATATTGTGTTTAGGCACTGTTAGGTCTATTTCATAAAAATATTTAACATAAGCTACTTTTGTGAAATATATGTCTGTTTGTTGTCAAAATAGCAGAAAAATAATATTTGTTTCTTAGGTTTTCACGCACATCACACATTAAATAAAACTAGTTTTTAACAGGTTAATGCACGTACTTTATATATTTATTGACGTTTCAGGTCTGCATCGTCAGAATAATGATTTTTTTATTTACTTTGTCGAGCTACCTTGAGATTTAGATCTTCCAATGAAATATCCGAACGCTCAATAAAACTCTTTCGAAGTAGACAAAGTAAATAAAAATAATAATAATAAAAATATGTTGTACAAACTGTAACGTCTATAACTGAGCGAATTCTCAAATAGCGACAGATTACAGTAATATTAGTAATACTGGGCCTGATGTTTTAATCTTAAAACTTATTTTAATTATAGTCTCTCCTTTCCATTGTGTTTTATAAATCAAATTCAGATTTAGAGAGTGAAGCCAGATTCAGGTCCAGTATTTGAGGACCACTAATAGACCTTTATTAAAGACCAACTCATTAGAGATCCCATACCCATCTGATAAGTAAAAATATTTAATATTTTATATGCAAAAGAAATCATTGGATTGCAAATATCACCTATCCATTGTGGAGCTAGATGGCGCAAGTGGCTAGCGCGTTCGGCTGCGATCGTTGGGGTTAAGCAACTTTCGCAATGGTCGGTTATTGGATGGGTGACAAAAATTTACTATCTCGAGCTCCTGCGTGCTTCGGAAGGCACGTTAAGCCTGCATGCAATCGTTAGCACCCACCAATCCACACTGGGTTCGCGTGGTGGGTCATGCCCCTTCTGGATGGAATAGGGAGATTGCTCCCATTCCATTCATTAGGAGGGCCTGTGCTCCAGAAGTGGAGACATTAATAGTCTGCTTCATCCATTTACAATCTATTCAAAATTTACAGTTTAATTTAAAGCCATTTATTTAATGTGACGTTTCCGAGTACGACAAAAGATAGTATCTTTCAACTTACCGGATCCATGGTCCATGGAGTGCAAGTCAGCGCCGTATTCGACGGTTACATCTTCATCTATTGAAGACACCACGCGCCAGAATTCTTTCTCTACTGTCGATGTGGGCACCATCTGCATGCAATTCAAATTAAAGAATAATTTATTCAGTTTACGTTGTCACAAGAACTTACAAGTACAACTCCATTTGTGAGTGTGGACTCCAGAAGGGCACTGTAGACCACATTTTTTTGAATGCTTTTTGACAAGCCTGGCTTTTTTTGTCAAAATCAAGCAAGAAACTAAGGTATTAAAATAATACATTTATCTGTGAGAAGTCTTAATAGTGTATTTGACAAGTTTAAGAAAACAAATTCACTTCATTTACTAACTAATATTTATGGAGTCCATAAAAAGTGGACACTTTTTAATTCTGTTGTTTGTGTATTTCGGTAAAAAAAAACTAGATTAATTTTTCGTCCTGAATACGTTTCTCTGTCATTGAAACGTCAAAAGATACAATGTGATGTCACTTTGGCCAGAAATTTACTAGCGTGTGACGTCATTTTAGTCCTAGCCAATCCAACGAGTTTTCGATTACGTGACCATGGAGCAAAAAAAAAACATTTCAATTTAATGATTTTACATTTTATTTTAATGATTTTATATACAAATACCAACACCTGGTACATTCTTTTTCATACTGTCAAATAGTCTATTGAAACGAATGTTTAGATTACACATTTATACAGCACAATTCTTCAATTTACGCGTTAAAATTCAGACTTTATATCCAATGTACTAATGGTGACCTTGAATGTCTCAATAATGCCCCAATACAGTTTTAGGTCACGCGATCATCCCATGTACTCCATGTACTTATCAACCACTGTTGTTTTCGTGATTCTGAATAGGGTATTTGACAAGTTTAAGAAAACGATCTCACGTTATTGACTAATGTTTATTATGGACTCCGTAAAAAGTGGATATTCATCATTCTGTTGTGTATTTCAGTAAAAATAGCAAATCAAAAACTCCATTTTCAAGTTGCCGCGACGTCACGCGACTGTTATTAAAACGTCAAACGATACAATGTAATGTCACTATAACCGGAAGTTAACTTGCGTGTGACGTCATTTTAGGCTCCGCTAATCCCAAGCGTTTTGGGTCACGTGACAACAGATAAGAAAACTATTATCTTTTTCGTGGGTTTTTAGTAAAATTATGAATATTTTTTTTGTAAAAATAGTAAAAACCCCTGCCAATATTCATTCTAAACACAGATGCTTACATTAGGCCCTTTATTTTTAATACTATCAAATACCCTATTTAGGATTTTAATATCATTGTTCAAAGACCAGATAAATATGATGTTAATATAATGAATAAAAAGCCCTAGCCTGACCGGCTATGCTGACTATGTCATCTGTCCATCGTTTATGGTCTGCCAACCCTTCTTTTTCCTTGTGGGTCCTGTCGACTTTGTCGCGCTTATAGACCATCCGTCGTCTGTAAGGCGGCAGTAATTTCACAAACAATGTGATGTGTTATGAAGAGTTAATTACTATGCCATTTCCCTATTTCAGTCCCACAGAATAGCTGCTACTATTTTCCTTACTTTACAGAGCACATTTTCTCGTTATTACAGGCTTAGATGAACAATAAATTATGTAAACATTGAATCTACCTTTTCTACCATTTTCTCTATAAGTATTTTGGTGACTGAAATGTTTGATAAATCAAATAAGTAAACCGACTCACATGTACGGGCATGTTGAAGTAATCCGACTTGAACTGATCGGCCATCTCTCCAAACTGTTGCAAGGTGTACTCTCGTGAAGCCTGCTCGAATCCGAACGCTTCTGTTGGCTTCGATACCTAGTAAAAAACGAAATATTTAAAATCATACATAAAATAAATAAATAAAATAAAATAAAAATTATTTATTTCGGACAACAGCAGCCCATATCAACAACACAAAATCAAACAATAAATTAACATTAAATTAATTTACAAAAAAACATTATCAATAATAAATAAATATACAATATACATAAATACAACGTTAAAAATGCAAAATAATAAATATTTGCAAGCAGACATATTGTAGCCCTAATTTTTAGATCGACTGCATAAAATTAATAAATTTATTATGCAGTTTTAGTAAAGGACAAAAAGCCTCCTTCCTACATCTCTCACCGGCGCGTCTTTCTCCGGCGCATCCTTCAGTGACACATCGCTTAACAGCATATCTTACGCCGTCCTTTTATTTTGTAATATGCCAATGCCATTAAGGTGTTGGAGAAAAAAAAACTTTTACGATTTTATATTAGAAGTGTGTCTCACGTTCCGATTTTTTGGTAAGTTATTTATTACATTTCAATTTTAAAAGAGTGATTTCTTTTCGTGCATTCCTAATACGGCTCGTTAATTATAGGCGGAGCAGAAAGGGGGGTCCCTTCTGAATTTTGTTTACATGAATTTATTATTATTATTATTTTATTTTACCGGCCATGTGCCGGCCTCATATGAAGCGATCGTCATACCTTTTAATGATTAGTAAGCAATTATTATACTTTGTTTTTGACAACCTGAACAGTTCAAAGCAGAATATCCATTATTTTCTAGTAATTACATGTAAAAATCATGAATTACTCGATAACATAAAACTCTTTCCCAAGATTTTAATCAATCCTTACTAAATTATTAATACTACATTTCTTTTAGAATTAGTTAATTACGCATAAAAAATCATTTAATCCATTTAGGAATCAATATCCAGTAAAATAATTCATAAATTGCAACTTTAGTTACAAAAATTCTTCGTAGGTTGTGTTTGTTGAAAGTGATTAAATCCCAAAAACAATGAGTCTTGTAGGAATGTGTTACTTACCATACTAATTAATTACAGATATTTCGATGGAACTATAAACCATCCATAAACACTATTACCTTGCTGTCTTCAACGCCTCCGACAGGTATTTATTTTATTCAATCATTGTAATATAATGAAAGAACATAATTTTAACTATATAACTTTAACCTTTCTAATCTTCTACCCAGTAATTAAAAGAACGGTTTTCAAGATAATCATAAATTATAAGTCAGTTTTTTCTTAAATAAAAATGATCAATTATTTTAAAATATTAGAAAGGAATTATATACAATTATTTTATAATATATTGTAGATTTTATAATTTCTTAATATTAATTTTATTTTAATGTGTGGTTACTCCAGAACGGCTCACCTGTACTAAGTAGCTGTTTTTTATTTAATTGTTCATTAGTGGTTACAAGTCCTTCAGTCGCATATATAAATACAAATCTCAATCTTCTTTTTTTTATTTACATTAGAATGTCGGTGTGACGCATTCAATTCTGTTTTTTTTTAAACTACTGAAACGCTATTGATAAACGATTATTACTTCAACATAGCATAATAGACACCATGTTCAGGGGTTCATAATATATCACCAGCTAATTTTCTACTCCACAAAAATGTGCTACTAACTTTTTACATAATTAAAATAGATAAATAGCTAACCTCCTCAGCGATGCAGACGGGGCACCTCCAATCACCTTTAGGCACATCAGCTAACGGCGGCACAAGGCAGAAAGTGTGGTAGGAATCATCGCAGCCGTCGCATAGTAACATTTGTTCTTCGATGTCGCCGCGTCCGCATACGTGGCACATGTATTTGGCCAACTGTTGGACGAATATTGTAACGTTAATATTATTCATTAGTATTTGAGGAAATCAATTCAATTCGAATAATTTATTGCATTACAAAGATGGTTTCATGACATAAAGTACGTTACATGAACTCTTTTCTTTTTATAAAAATAGTAAAAACCCCTGCCAATATTCAATCTAAACACAGATGCTAACAATTGGAACTTTATTTTTAATACTGTCAAATACCCTATTAAGTGGCACATGCATTTGGCCAACTGTTGGACGAACATATTGACGTTACAGTCAATATTATTTATTAGTGTTTGAGCAATACAATTCCAATAATTTATTGTATTACAAAGATGGTTTCATGACATAAAGTATGTTATATGAACTTTTTTTTATAAAAATAGTAAAAACCCCTGCCAATATTCAATCTAAACACAGATGCTAACAATTGGAACTTTATTTTTAATACTGTCAAATACCCTATTAAGTGGCACATGCATTTGGCCAACTGTTGGACGAACATATTGACGTTACAGTCAATATTATTTATTAGTGTTTGAGCAATACAATTCGAATAATTTATTGTATTACAAAGATGGTTTCATGACATAAAGAATGTTTCATGAACTCTGCCATGGACTGCATTTTCATTCATAGAACACCAAGTATCGCATTACTTAGTGTTCTATGAATGAAAATGCACTCCATTAAATGTGGCTAATTAAGTGGCACATGTATTTGGCCAACTGTTGGACGAACATTGTAACGTTAATATTATTTATTAGTGTTTGAGCAATACAATTCGAATAATTTATTGTATTACAAAGATGATTTCATGACATAAAGTACGTTTAATGAACTGTGCCAGTGTATCGCAATACTTGGTGTTCTATGAATGAAAATGCACTCCGTTAAATGTTGTTAATTATGATTCTGTTACATATTAGAGTATAAGGAAGATGAAATAATGTTGTTCTAGGTAATAAAAGCGTTTCGCAAACATCTCTCACTGCTATCATTGAAACGTCAAACAGAACACTAAGTAATGACACTTTGACAGCAAGAACACATGTGTGACGTCATTTGAAGCTCCATCAAAACTAGGCGTTTTCTGTCAAATGACAATATGCCAAAATTCAACTTGGAAAGCAGCCCATTTTTGATGTGTAACATGTTTCCTCTCGCTTTCCTGCAATTTGTGGGAGTGATTTCGTGAAATGGGACGGAAGTGTGTAACAGGAAGTCGCGAAAGCGCGCGCTATTTGATTTGATATTAGAACATAATGTTCGAATGGCTTATTCCTTTTGTAGTAGGTTTTATTTCTTTTTTTGTTAATATAAGGTGAGGTTTTCAAATGTTACACGCTCGCTCGTTTTTTTTTAGATAAATTAACAATTGTCATTTTTCCTGTAAGGTTAATAAAAATTGTTGCCAATACGACATTTCGAAACCATTTGTGATTAAAAAGCGGGGCTTCTAAGTGGAAAGCGGGACATAATACAATAATCAATAACCGTTTGCGAGTCATACGGTCGCACTCAAGAGAGACATCAATTAATATGTCATCAAACAAATTTCACAAAATATGTACTATCATAGAAAACAAATATTTATCATATTTATATATATTTTATGTACCATAACTTATTATCTTATATTTACATATACACACATGGTTTAACACACCCTTATATAAATAAAGAGATAGGTACGCAATACTACACAATGCTTATCCTTTAATACTGAAAGCTTGCACATTTATTGTACTTAACGTACTTGTGCTGTGTGATTGGTTCCATTTCATCTGAATGGTGTTTACTATACGGGATAATACTATATTTTAATTGCTTTGCTCAAATTAAGCTTTGTTTTTGTGTTTGTTTGTAGCGATAACCTCTTTTATTAGAATCTGTGCTTGTATGCTTGTGACCCTAAATATATATATATTTTTTATTATTAATTATCTAGTCTCGGTGCAAAGGCAACGGATTAACACAGCCATGCCCCATTTTTTATTATTTCCTTTATATTTTATATTAATATGCATATAAAATCGTTAGTGTTTGGCATCCACTTGTCAGATAAAGGACCCAGTTGAAAACCAGCGCCAGTGCATACTGCACTGACATTATGCTGAACTGGGCCCTTTTCAGCGCAGCCGTGGATACGGAGTGATATCAGTTATTTTGTAAGTTTTAACTATAACTATTTTATCTGTATCCGTGTACTGTACTGAATAAACGATTTTGTTTGTTTGTTTGAAACAACTTACTAACAGGTGCATCGGTATACCTGAGTTTCACCACCATCTGAACGCTTCCAGCACCTTGCTAAACTAAAACACGCTTACCTTTTCCTTGCATACTAGCATGATCTGGCACGAACTTCCCTCAGCGATTATTCCTTTCAGCTCCGATATGTCGGTCTTCAATAGACGGGTAATCTTTTTCTAGAGACTCGGCAAAGCCTGAGTATAATTGGTGCTGCAAGTGTCCATGGGTGGCAGATAACACTTAGCATCTCTTTCTCTCTGGGTTCGGTCCTTCATGTCTGAGGATCGCATCTGGAGCGGACTATCAGCATACACCGGTTTCTTTCCAGCGCCTTACCAATGCATAAAATTTGGTTGAAGACGTAAGTCTGCATATTTCAACGATCTTAAATACCCTAGATACACGACGAGCGCTCAAAATGTCCCAATCAAGAAGTGCTTCTTCGTTCACAGTCACGCGCAAACCGTTAAAAAGTCAAGATGTCGAAGAGCTCCGTGAAAAAATGCCAAAAAATACTAATAGTTATTACTTATAGTGTCGTTTTTTCGACAGTTATCTAATCAAATTTTGTTAATTTAACGCATTTCAAGAAATTTTGTTCCAATACTTTCTATAAACTGATTTAATATAAAATATTTGTGATATTCAAATGCACGGTCGGTTATATAGCCATGTCTTTTCCTCGCGGTCCGTACCTGCTATATTGCTAACAGCTCATTTACAATTGCGCGTAGAGTCAAAACAATAAGGTCTATATTCTTCCACATATAGCAATAAGTCGTAAAATTTTACGAGCTTGCATTTATAACTGTCAAAAGTATTTGACGCATGTGTTTTAATTAAAACCTTAGACAGTATGTATTAATGGTGACTTTCAGTGTTTAAATTAGCTTCAAATTGATTTTGACCACTTACCAAGGTCCGTGGATCGCCCAATGTACCTTTTGGACATGTTTCGGGGACGATTTTGTTCGAGTTGTTGTAGCTAGGGTACTAAATATCGTTGGTATATTTAAAAAAAAGCACTCACCGGGTCGTCGACCCTCGGCGCGAGCGCGGGTTGAGGCGCCGGGGTGACTGACACGGTCATGTTGGACATGCGGTGCTCCCGCAGTCTGGTGGAGCGAGTCACTCTGGCTCTGCCACCGCATGCGGCACCCGCTGACATCCATTTGTTCTCGCGGGGGCCTGATCGACAATATATATATACATGTTGAACAATCTGGGATAATACGAGTATTGGTCAAAGTCACAAGGGTCCAAAAATTATATTTTAGTAATGAAAGATGCTTCTCAATGTTGTGTGAATGTTCGGTACGAGAGGTAACTACCAATGAAGAAACTGACCTGAACCAGTTTACATATCTGTTTTGTTATTGGGATATTGATATTATAAGTCTATCGTCAAGAAAAACCCTTGTTCTATTTGTCTACCATAGGCCCTGATGTATGATGATATGCATGAGTGTGCATGTGTTAGGCAGCACTTATAAACAGCACATGAACTGTATATTTTCTAAACAACTGTGGAATTACATTTCGCAGTTTGACAGAATGAAAGAATACCCTCTGTGACCCTCTAGACTAGAATGTTGTCAATACCACGTGTAGTTATATCTACAGTCAATGTACATGTGTGTTGTGTACATACAGTGCACTTAATCATCTAATATAGTCTAATTAGCTGAGCACCGTCAAGAATGTGAAAAGAATGTGAAGATGTGTTTGTGTGTAGGCATCATTCACTCTTCACTGCTATTTACCTACCCTGGTGGATGAAGATGTGTCTCTGCCTATCTTTCTGTGTGTTTATATGTGTCTTATCTCTGAGTATGATCGTATATCTATGTCTTAGTGTGTCTATGTCTAGTCATATCTTACTCCTGCGCATCTTTCTACTCCTTAACAGACGTGGTGGGGGGGATGTATTACCGCAGCAGTAGCCGGCAGTGGGGTATTGGTGGGCTCCGGGTCCGCGGGCTTGTGGCGACGGGCGGAGGTCGCGAGGGAAGGGGAACAAAATACGCGCCTATGCTCGAAATTATGAGAAACATGCCTAAATACATTATATCTACCTAATATAGTCACATTTACAGTGCAGCTTCAAGAAAACAACCTTTATTATAATCTGATCACTCCTATGTCTGTCTGTATATGTATTTGTGTGTAGGCATCACTCAGTCTTTATTATTTGCGTTCCCTAATGTATGAGGATGCGTGTGTCTGTCTATCTCTGTTTGTTCTTACGTGTCTATGGCCCGTATTACAGCCTGACAACTAAGTGTTGATCTTTACTTGAGCACAGTTAGAAAGGGATGTCGCTATGTGCTATATATAGCGACATCCCCTTCTAACTATGCTCAAGACTAGATCAATCACTGAGAATCTTTCTATAATCCGGGCCTTAGTGTAGAATCTTTCTATAATCCGGGCCTTAGTGTATGTGTGTATCGCTCGGTGTAGATATGACTTACTCCTGCGCATCTCCTCCTTCTCCTCCTTGACAGGCGTGGTGGGGGGTCCCCCCGCCGCGGTGGTGGGCAGGGAGGGGGGCCCGCTGGCCGGCTCGGGGTCGGCGGGCTTGTACCGTCGCGCGGGGGTGGCGGGGGCGGCGGGGGGCGGGGTGGCGGCACATTTGCCCCCCGCTGAGGACCGATTCCGACCGGTTATAGCTTTCTCGGGCGTTTGCTCCCCTTTCACTTCGATCTTCTGTTGACGAAAATAGGGACACTTTATCTCATCTATATACATAAAACTCAAAGGTGACCGACTGACATAGTGATCTATCAACGCGCAGCCCAAACCACTGGACGGATCGGACTGAAATTTGGCTTGCAGGTAGATGTTATGACGTAGGCATCCGCTAAGAAAGGATTTTGATCATTTCTACCCATAAGGAGATAAAATAGGGAGTGAAAGTTTGTATGAAACTTTGTCAATTTTAAACCGATCGGGCTGAGACTTTGCATGCAGGTATAAGAAGAATCATAGATGAATGTCGTTGTGTATAATACAAGCCTCAGAACAAAAACTAGTCTACACTTCAACTCTACACCGAAGCGAAGCGAGGGCGGGCCGCTAGTGTTCTATAAAACTAGTTTTACAGGTTAAATGTACTACTGATTTTATTTATTTATTGACGTTTTGCATCCTCTCGGGAATACGTCGTCGGAATAATGATTTTTTATTTACTTTGTCGAGCTACCTACGAAAGAATGTTATTGATTTCATGTTCTATGTTACAGAATGTGGTTTCTGCACTTAGGAGTCCTCAAGTGGACCATTGTACGTGTGCCATAACGGCCGATTATCTCTCGCTTAATGCCGTTGTCTTAGGAAATTTATAAACTACTAACAGACCCTGTGAACTTTGTGTCGCTTAAACAGTCGATGAATATGGTTCATTTCAGGAATAGGTTATAGTGAGTCACACTTAAAGATGGAAATGGTTTTTATAGAAGTTTTAAAGGAAAACAATTCCATCATACATGATATTTGTGTAACTTTAACTATTTACCCAGCGCATCGCATGCAACGGAAGCTCTCCATTGGAATATTATCTACCCGATTTCACAACACTTTTCACCAATGCTCCTTTCCTACTGGTCGTAGGGCGATGTTATATAGCCTTCCTTGATAAATGCACGGCCAGAAAACTTTTTGATTATCCGGCCGTGAAAAACAAATACGAGGGGTTATAAATGCGAAAGCATATCTTTTTGTCGGTTACCTCACCTTGTTATTAACTTGTTTAGTAACAATATCTGTCTCTGTTTTATTTATAATAATAAACTTGCTACCTGTAAATTAAGTAAGGAATAAAAAAAGCCCATTAACTACAACAGTAATGGTGACTATAATTTCTTTTTCCATCTATCAAGTAGATTATCAAGAATTATTGCATATGTATTCTTTCTTTTTTCACATAGTCCAAACATTACACATTTATATTGATTCGAAATGTCGCATGACGTCAAGCCTTGGTACAACTTTTACTTAGAAGTGACGTCACGAGCGCCCACGCCCACAAAACATTATAATGTTTAGTTACATATTTTTTTTAAGCATTTAACTGATAGTTGATAAATCTAAAGAAAATTATACTAGAAAAAAAACCGAGGACAGTTTGCTGCCCGGTCAGCATGGAATTATTTCTAGTAAAATTTTCTTTAGATTATGATTTTTTCTACCACAATTGATAAGAATAAGATGCTCACCGTCTCCTTATTGTCACCGACGACCCCGCTGTTCTTGAACACATCGTAAGGGTACAAAATTCGCTCGTAATGACTTTTCAGAATGGACCCAATACCCTTGCCTTGAGGGAAGCACATGCGCCGCGCTATTTTAGACCACTTGCGTTCAGCGGAGCATACTTCGAAACCGCCTGGAGAGAAAAAAAATGCGTGGTTTTATTTAACTATGATGCAAGTGAAACTTATAAAATCGTTATTTATTACATATTATTACATATAAGTATAGTAGTTTGGAATCTCCGACACCACCTAGGTTGGCTGGAAGACATCTCTTTTAGAGATAAGCCCACCTTTGCTGACTTTGTATTTGACTTTGTTTTGAACCGTATGATGCAATAAAGAGTATAATAATAAAATAAGTCCTTAAACGGCTGGGATTCTAGCCAGGACTGCCCGTGCAGGAGGCGAGCTTTTTAACATGGAACCACCGATGCTCGCTGATAAGGTCTGAATTTTTTAATAACAATTAAAAATAATACTAATAGGAGTATAATATTGATACGCATATAAGTGACGTTTAGCTACAGTGCAAGATGAAGGACATGGGCCCTTAAAATTGAATGGATATTTACAATTTTTAAATACAGGTAACATTAACTACCATACCAACATAAATGGAGTACTTACCAGCTTCCTTAACTATTTTGTGCAAGGCATACAGATCGAGCGGCTTCCTTTCAACCGTAGGTATCTTCAGTACAGACCCTTGCAACTCCCAGAATTTGACGATTTGATCAAGAAAATTCAGCTTCACTCGAGTGATGGCCTGAACAGTAATAAACAAACATTTATAAGTGTCTACGGAAATAAAAACAAGAAATTAAATAATTTCCCTATTTGTTTTTATTAACAATGCAAATGTTAGCTATTGTAATGAGATTAAATGAATAAGGTAGAATCGATAAAGAGAGGTAGAGCATAGCACATTTTCTACTTGAATTGGAGCACCTGTCTAAGGAAATAACCTCCACTTAACAGACCATCACTAAAATAACACTACCGTTTGGTGGTGTTTTGTTTCTGTAAGTGAGAGGTTCCAGGGTTCTACGGGGTAGGGGATTGGATCAGGGTAGGCAACAGCGAAAGTGATAGTTTTTATATCACAAGCATTATAGGCTATGATGACCGCTTACCATCAGACTTTTATTTATAAGTATGCAATAAAATCACGTTCTGTATGAACATAAACATAACTTACCTCAAGTTCATTGAGGCGTTGGATTCTTGGTGTAAACCTCAACCGGTCCACATCCACAGCAAATGGTGGTTGCCAGTGCTGTAACAAGAAATATCAAATGAACAACAATTTATCAAACAAACTATCAAATACTGTTAAATCAATTAAGAAAATGCTGTTTAGAATAAAGTGTAAGTTATAGATTGGCCCTTAAATTTCATGATCTTTATATTTAAATGCTATGTCACAAAGGAGAAATAGATGTACATGATTGAGCCTTTTGATCACTACAGTAAAATTACTGGTAATTTATTTTTCACATTTAGCAGGATTGAATCAAAAACTGGTTTTCTTAATTATTTTAATGAGTTTTTTTTTTTATAAAAATGCCTTAGCATTTCGCAAATCTGTCTCAAAAATCAAAATCAAAAATCATTTATTCAGTCTAAGCTGTTACAAGCACTTTTGAAGGTCAAAAAGCTATGCCATCAGTTCGCAAAACTATGGTGGGAGACCTTTTACTTAGAAGAACCGTTTCTCCCTGAATATACAGTTGTCATGTTGAAAAATAACTTCAGACTACTTTCTACGTTACTCAAGGTACTTTCCCTCAATGACATTTACATTGCTTGATATATATATATCAGTAAATTAATATACACTGTGAAACTTGAGTTGCCTTAGTAACTTCATTAACTAATTCGTACAATGATATAGGTAAAAATTTTCAAAAGTTTATCTACCTTCACTCAATAATTGTGTAATTACGAAAAAATATATGTAATTCAATTAAATTTTTGGTCATTATGTCTGCGTCTCATTACGTGACGTTTCTGCCAATGTATGGGTTAAAGGAGACAAGGTATATGCTGAGCCTGTACGGTTTTGTTGGTGTTGTGCAGTATGATGACTGCAGACTCGTTGAGTATCTCTTATCTATTAGACAAGTCCGTCCATCTGTCTGTCTGTGGTGCTGTTTCAGCGGCCAAACCGTAAGAGATAGATAAAGAGAATATTTAAGTTATAAGTTAAGAATAGTCTGATAAGACTACAAACCGGATTTGAGTAACGTAGCACTTCCGGTTTTCGAGAAATCACAAATTTCAAACGAAACCACACAAAATCTCAGAAGTTCTCAATTAATTTAATACATTTTTTTTTTTAAATCAGGTTTTGGTGAACATTTTATTCACTAGTTTGCTAGTCTGTATATAATGTAAACAGATAATAATAGACATGTTATTTACAAATTCACACCTTTTGGGATATTATGTAAACAATATTTTTTTATGGGTATGTAGTATGTTAACTGTTTACCTATAACCGTTTTTAATATTTTTACTAACAATTTATAAGTTTCTCAAGTAACTCAAAATTCACTGTTATTATGAATATTGGATAATTTCATTAAAAAAACAGTACAATTAAGATTATTATAATCAAATATGTTATTACTAATTTTAAGGGCAACTTAATTGAATTTAACAATAAATTGGTCCAATTGATTGATAAATATCCAAAGGATATCAAAAGTGATATATATCATAAATATCAGATATTTTAGAACCTCGTTACAGTGTTTGGGCTTTACTTGGACTGACTCTTACTTATGTTGTAGAGAACATTGTATCACAATTTTGAAATTCATACTGCCAGACACATTCTGTTAGCAGTATTTATTGCCAGACACTTTAAATGTTGGAAGCAAATAACCCATATGTAGTCAATGTTTTACCAACATTGCAGATACTACTGCAATCATAGTTAAGTGTGATTGTGAACTAAAATCAAGGCTAATAAAGTATTATAATTGTACATGATATCACTTAACATGTTTATGGCAAAATCTTAATATTATTAGTAAATTAGAGATAATTGTTCAATAGCTATGAGGCATTATGATTTACAACTGTAGAATAGATGTCAGCAAATATTGTGATTATTATTGGCTAAGGTTAATAAATAGAACATTAAGCAATTTATGTGTAAATAGCTTTTGCAATATAAATAGCTCCTCTAGAAAAGGAATCTAGAGGAAGAAGGAATTCTAGAATCTATAAAGATAAAATAAATACTAATTTTCAAGCAACCATTGTTGTAACTAATGGACATTCCTTAAAACCACAAGATAGCAATATATTTTTTAGAATGTGCAACAAAAAAGTTATTATTGCAATGAGTAAGGTAAGTATGACCTTTAGTTATTATGACAGTGGGTAAGTAAATATTAGGTATTTATGTATTTCAATAAAATATACCACAAATTAGTACGCAATAATGAAACCACTGTTTTAGAAATTTAAGTCTTCGCTAAGACAAAATTATTGTTAGATGCAATTGAAGTCCTAACCACAACATAATGTTTTTTTTTATGTTCACTTGACTATATTGATTTTTATAACAAAAAGTTGAAAAAATTATTATGGAAAAAGAATATTTCGTAGTATTCTTAAATTTGAGGTCATAATAAAATACCACAATGGAGGAAAATGTGAATCATGTGCACCTTCTAAACAGAATTAGATGTTTATTGCAAAGTATTCAACATTTTTTACATAAAATAATACAAGGATCAGTAAGTAGAATGCACAAGTAGGTCTTTCATAGGTACACACATCTGAATAAGTAATTAAACATATCTATCATGAACTTTGAAGATTCACACAAAGCTATAGAATGATAATGTCTCTTGCCAAAAGTAAAATTTAAGTAAAATTGATGTTCATTCTGCAGCTACAGAAAACATAACAGTTAGGTGGTGACAAAAAAGTGGCGATAGTTCTTTTTTTATCTAAAGTTTCGTAGGCAGGAGGGCACGACACAAAATGGCAACCAGACATACATACAATATTGCATCCATAAAACACATAATTACTATGCAATTGTACTACATGAAACACACCTATTATAAATTATCACGTATAATTCAATATTTAATCCCAAAATCGGAATTTAGATTACACGCAAGTGCCTAATACGGAGTAATATGGTTGCATCACACGTAATTTTCGTACGATTGTAAGGTTAGAAAACTACAATGCAATGCATTAATATACCTCTCAAAAGCACATTTTTGATAAAAACAGTTAAATTTGCGCACAAGAAACAAAGGAAGTAACTCACCGCTGGTGGTTTTATTTTGCATATCCCAGACTTCTCAGCGATTGGTCTTATTTTGCTGATGTACGCTAGTGGATCCAAGAACTCCTCCGGTGTTGGCTCGAAGACAGGAGCCTCCGGAGGCACGGTGAACGTGAAATTATCAGGTTTCATGGGGGACGCCGAGTCCCCCATACTAACTTCGACATTGGCTTCGTCACATTTTCCCATTTTTATTAAAAATATTTATGCAGTTCACACAATGCAACTATAAAGAACTCTTTAACATCATCTAACGTTAAGGAATAAATAAAGCACGTCCACAAAGAAATAAAAGCATCTGAATTACTCTTTCCATAAGGACACACAATGAGATAATTATTGAAATTTTATCACCAACAAATAACAGAACCCACTTGCACGTCCGCCATGCGAAATTGAACTTTCGAAACTAAAGTTGCCAGAATAAAATAATCTCACTGCCAAACTGAACATTTCCAAAGATAGTAAGAATAATTTATTTAAGCGTAGCGAAATCCTTCATCCATGAATTATCATCTTGTTTTTCAGAGGTGTGATTTTATAAATAACCATACAATCAATGCATTTTCAATCAGCACAATTAGCGAACTAGGAACGAAATATTTAGTCAATGTGGTGCAGCGCCACCATTATGGACTTATTATTTAATCCGACAAAGAGAGACAAGTAAGAGACGCACTACGAAGCCTTTTTGTCACTATTACAGAGTAACTACGTAACCATCATGGCCAATTTGCGGCACTCCGTTTTGGCTTCCGCCGTATATGCTGGATTGTGAATGCTATCGCAGCATGCATAGCGTCCGGCATTTTAATTTCCCTATTAACTAGGAATACTATTAATGTCTGATATATGATACCTATGTCAATAGCGGGCCACATATTCCACCGTGAATTTTTGTTGCGTGCAATGCGAACCACCCATACACGTAGACCCGTCCCTCCCCATCGCGCCCCAACAGTTAGTGCATACAGTTACACAGACTTCTGGCAGTACACTAAGCAACCAAAATTTCGATCCGCTGGGAGATCAGAACCGTTAGACCGAATCAGGCCTAACCTATCACTAAGTGCCGGTTCGCACGAGCGCTTTTTCATCGGCCGTTAAAAAACGTTTAAATGGCACAAATAGATACCCATCTTTTTCACACGAAAGCGTTTTTAAAGCGCTCCCCTTTTTTTGACGTTAAGCGTTGGACGTTAAATCGGATCGAGCATACCTACGGAACTCCGTGTATCTGTTCTGACGGGCGTTAAAAAAGCGCCGACGCACTCTGGCGGGCACTGTCAGTTGGCCACGTGTTCGCGTAGCGTTTATACGTAATTATTTAATTGCGCGCTTTTAATTTAATTTTAGAGGTCGAATCTTGACCCATTCTTTAATAAAGTCACTGCCGGAGTATGCCTATCTAATTTATTTCATAAAAGTGTCAATCTTCACTTCAATGGAAGAAATTCTATTCGTTCGCTACAATTATACGATCACGTCACATGTCGCAAGCTTATGTAAAGCACAGTTATTATTGTATTGTATTAAAATGATAAGCCTACGACACGTTATTTTAAAGTTTTTGGCTTATGGATATTTGATTTTAGGGAAAAGCACTTAATATCCTTTAACTAAATAAATTCTCAAATATGTCTCAAGAAAATGTAAAAATCTGGCAATTCATCAAATCCCTACCACATCACTAATTCTCTAGAAAAAATCCAGAAATCTGTTCAAATAGTGAAATAATGAGAAATAATGAAATAAAGTAGCGATTTTGGCATCCTTCTTGCGTGATTTCATCAAATCCAGGATTTAATGAAATATCGGATTTCGTCATTTCCCTGCGACATTTGCATTCTTAACACTTACCTCAATGTCACTGCTAATCTCTACCTTGCTGGTATCGCAAATCTCATGTTGGTGTCTTCAAAAGTTATTCGAGGTTAGCCAATAATTCATCGAATGTGCTATTCGGAAATAGTTAAAAAAAATATTGGGATAAAACCTCAAGTCTTCATAGAGCGACACAAACTGTCCTTTTTAACCGACTTTCAGGAGGAGGCTCTGTGTTCGACTGTATATATATATATATTTATATTATGTATGTTCACCGATTATTTTTTTGCCTTCTCGCAACACAAATAGCTAATGCCAATAATTTTGGATTTTAATTCATAATTAACTATACGTGCACACTGTGCAGCGAGATTGATTTTTAAGCGTTCATATGAACACTACTATTGGGTACGTTAAGAAAGCGCCAACGTCAGGTTTTAACGTGACGCTTTTTAAACTCGTGCGAACCGGGCCTAATGTGCTAAGTAAGCATATTGCGCTGCGTTGGATCTGCGGCCCGCTCCACTCCGCTGCGGCCCACTCCACCCAACAATCGGCTAACATAATGAACGCGAATTTTAAAATAATATTTATAATTATAGCTATTAACGGGATTGTTACCATGTACCTTGTTTTTTATGAGTCTCCGATATTTCGGCACTGTTGCAAGCGCCATGATCACGGAATAACTGAAGTAATTGCGGGTAGATGTTATTGGCAGACATATCGGTCTACCCTCTGACGACGTCTTTTACTGCGCTCGATACCCCTACCATTGGTCACGTTCTCACTATTCACTCGCACCTGTTCCCGACACACAATACTCACAGTATCCGATCGCGGAACGACACTTTTTTGATTTTTACGGTTTTTGCACATACGAACCACTGGATTCCAGACACTTGACAATTTAAACCCATCCTCACGATTGAAATTTTTGTGTTTGGTTATTTCAATCGCTTCCCTGACCAATCTTGGTATGTAGTGGCGTTCTGTCGAGATGATTTGTGGATTATGGAGCTCAATCCAGTGATTCGGACCCGAATCGATTAAATGTTCCGCGATAGCTGATTTCTGCGTATCATTGTTTCTGACTGCTTTTATGTGTTCTTTCATTCGGCACGCTATTGTCCGCTTCGTTTGGCCAATATATGAACTACCACAGCTACAGTCGATCTTATATACACCAGGTTTCTCCAAAGGGAAGTTGTCTTTGGGAGATCGTAGAAACTGTGACACTTTTTGTAAAGGAGTGTGACACTCCTTAAATAGTGAGAACGTGACCAATGGTAGGGGTATCGAGCGCAGTAAAAGACGACGTCAGAGGGTAGACCGATATGTCTGCCAATAACATCTACCCGCAATTACTTCAGTTATTCCGTGATCATGGCGCTTGCAACAGTGCCGAAATATCGGAGACTCATAAAAAACAAGGTACATGGAACAATCCCGTTAATAGCTATAATGTTAGTGACCATGAAAGTTTAAAACAATATAATATTTATAATTCTATTCTATATTTTGTTAGTTTTAAACTAGCCTCGATTCTGGCATGATTAACTTAAAACTAAATTTAACATAGGTCTCTCCTTTTCATTCTGTATAGAGAATGACAAGGATACACTGTTGTCTTTATGTTTAGGTTTTGAGAATCACGTTAGAATTAATTTATTTTCCCCATGCGATTTCAAACTAGCTTTATAAACAGAGCCAAAAAAAAAAAGAAAAGGCAATCGATGAACTTGTCATCCACTCGCCGCCATATTATTTCTGTGCGAAAGGCCGATAGGTGGTCCGCTGCGCGAGTGTCATCGTTTTGATTATGTCGAGTGTGTAATATTTGTTATTTTTTGATAAAACTGTGAACTTAGTGTCGGTATTTGATCAGTTACAATGATTGTGAGATATTTGAGCGTATTGTGCGTTGGAGTTCTGGTGGCTTCCCTGCAGAATGTCGAAGGAAACAACGACAATGAAGGTGCGTGATTTTCTTTTAGTATTTATTTTTTACGTCCCTTCGTATCCGGAGGTTTCAGATTACATATTCCAATGAAATCTGCATTGCAGCAAGCTATTAGCACGTTTTGTTTTCAACGATAAGCCTTCTTTAACTGGATACACGCTAAATATAAAATTGTCAATAGGTGGTCCGTATTTCGATATTACTTTCGAAAAGTTCCCGTGTTGGCTACATGCGCTGGGATTGCTCAGCTTGTGTGGGTGTTGAGAACCGGCTTGACTACTTTGTGCCTGCATGCTGCACAACACACTTTAGGTTTTCTTGTAGAATTGGGATGATGCCGCTTTTTGCAACTGATTCATCCAATTTGTGGATCATTGTCTGATTATTTCAATTGTCTAAAAGATAACAGTGTTGTATTTCTTGATCTTGACTTTTCGAAGCATTATGTCTATTCTACTGTCCAAGATACAATGTTTTGAAGAAAATAACACACACTTTTTGTTGAACTCTCCTTAAAATACAAGTCAAATCCATAGATATGTAGCTATGCACCCGATACTATTCAAGGTTCTTCGATCATCGGGTTGCAATTTTCATTCTGTTCACATGTAATTTAGGATTCCCTATTATATGATTATGGAAAAATTTGCTGTTTTTAGACTATGAACAAATATGTTTTTATAAAAATTAGCATGAGCAAAATGAATCATTAGTAAACTAGAATCTACTAATCGAATTATAAAATTATTGCTATCATATAATTCTCAAGATTTGCTAAATATGGAGTTGCTAAGAATTAGATCTTTTACAATATAAAAATATGTTGTGTGTCATTATTTTTTTGCAATCCTTTAGGGGAATTTTCTTGTGAAATTGTGTTGAAACATTGCAATGATAGTCCTTTCAGTAAATACTGAGATGAAAGTCTGCCATAAAATTATGAATAATTTGATACGGAAAATTCTTTGCAACTTTCTATAATTTTAGAGGGACCTATTAAAATGTTAAAACTAAGTTTTAAAACACAATAAGACATTAGAGGGTTTCCTCAAAAGTTGTATGAGACAATTTTTGATAGAATACATAAATTAAATGATTAATCACAGAAAAAAATATACAATTGTTATTTTGATTTTTAAAGTTCTGCTTTAATGTCAATGAATTTCATATGAAAGATTTAGATTGAGACATGTAACCATAATAATGTGTCATTCAGGATTAATGTTATTTCATTGTCATGGATTTGATTGTTGGAACCTGCTGTCGGGCAAATGAATTGCTAAGCTTTGCTTACAGAAAGTTCAGTTTCTTCACAAGTACATATAACATCTATAATAGTATATAATATAGATGTTTTACATTATGTATGTATATTGAAGATGTTATTATAATTCTGTAGTCCAGTTGGTAGGCAGCAGACACAGTAGAAATAGAGTCAGTTAGTTGTTGAATCTTTTATTCAAGATACTGCTTGAATCTGCCTCCTTTACATAATCTGGTAAACAGTGTACTCTTTCAAAAATTATGGTTTTCTTACCTTTGTTTAAGGCAGAACCGAATAGTTGTTTCTATTAATAGATAAATGGTGCTGACTCTAGCATGATTCGCTAAAGTTAAAACTAAAGTAGTCTCTCCTTTT